TTATTTAATCTAAAATAATGCCTTAATTAATATTAAAATGTCTTAAGTAAAACTTTCAAAAGTCTTAAAATGCTAAGGCATGGGAAGTAGGAGTTTAGGAATCTTTTTTTTGACATTGCAATGTAAAATCTCAAAATAATTGGTAACACGTATTTTTTAAGATCATTTACCAAATGCCTCTCGCATTAATGTCACACAGATCAGGATAGCAGCAACAACTCATTTTGTTTCAGTCTGGGATGCTCAGAGCTGAGGATCCACCGTCCGCAAGCCAGTTGTCACTGTCAGACTTTGCAACATAGTTGAAACTGGTACAAGGTAGTGCATATGAGGCTCCATGTATTTTATTCTAAATTTATTTCAAACTGGGCACGATGGGAATCAAGTCAGTGGAATCCCACATGCAGAATGAGAGACACAAAACTGCAGAGAAAACTGGCCGACAAACACCAGGTATTTCCCAGTTCTGTTCTACCCTCGCCTCCGCAACGCCTCCGCAACGCCTCCAACCCCATCTCTGATAACAGTAGCAGAGTCAGCAGCAGCAGCAGCAACAGATCTCCAAACAACATTCTGGTTTACACCTACACAGAAAGCAGAGAAACTGTGGTGTCTTAACACTGAGACGAGACAAATTCTTCAATAGGTTATTAGAAAATTGGTCTTTATTCTCATTACAAGTGGCATTAAAAAAAGACCTTAATGTAACTTGCCTTATGTTGCAGGAATCCTGCAGTCATTAGGATTCATCCTTTGGGGATCATGAACATTTTGTCAAAATTTCATATCCATTAGTTGTTGAGACATTTTGGTCTGGACCAAAGTGGTGGACTGACAGTCCAACAGGCCACCATTGCCACCCCAAGTCAAGCCACTAATGCGGCCAATAAAACTCTCTCAACTGCCTACCTACCTACCTTACGACCTGGGAATGAGACTCAACAACTGTCTTTCTCCAAATGCTGTGTTCATGATTATCTTACCTGTACATCATGTTTTGTTCTCCTCACAGACCAAAGTCAACAACGCCTGCCTTGTTGGAGTTGGATACACACAAACCCTCAGGCCAGGTTAGCTGATTTACTTTTTCCATTTCTGTAACAACAATACAAAGATCATAGTCAAGGCGACTTGACACATACACTGGCCATCTTCCCCGCAGGAGTCAAGCTCACCCTCTCAGGTCTGATCGACGGGAAGAACGTGAACGGTGGTGGGCACAAAGTCGGCTTGGGTTTCGAGCTGGAGGCGTAAAGATTCAGCAGGGGACATACAAGAGGAGAGGAAAGCGACACAGGAGAAGAATAAAGAGCCCAAATGTGAAAATACAGCAGAGGTCCACTCAGTGACATGTAAACACATCTTCCCTCTGAGTCCTACACACACATGCACACAGATATACACACGTCCGTTGGCCTTATTCCTGAAACCCTGAGCAGCCTCTAAGACCTCCGGTACTGTAGTTTTAAAAGAAAAAAAAACAACATTATTTTGTGTTTGTTACTTTTAAAACATACATTATTTACAGTGCCCACAACTTTTGAGCGTAAGTTATCAGAATACAACAAAAGAACAGATGCATCAGCACGCAATTTATGCAAACCCCCTGTTCTCCAAATAAAGTGTTGCTTATGACCAGTTTGACCAGACAAAGTGCACTTTTCATAGAGCATGAGTATAAGAGTCAAAGCACCTTCTTATTTTGACTGTGTGGTCAACTTGTTTTTGTTTCAGATATACTCTGGGTTTTAGACATTAATAGGATTATTAGAGGATGCTTGTTTTCGGTATATTGTGGATTTGTTGCATGCTTTTAAGGCTAGAGGGATGTTTTTTGACTTTTCATTGTCACACTGACAAGTACAGCGACTGTAAACAGATGCAATAAAAGCTGGAGAGAATCAAGGAGAAAAGACAAAGAGCGCCTGATCCTACTCAGTGGACTGATTCCACTATTCAAGCCTCAGTAACGCAGTTTTAAACTGTGAACCCTCAGTTGCCTATATGTCTGTTTTTCAGGTTCTGCTTGATAAAAAGTCTGACAGCAATTGGAGACTCTGTGTCACCTCTTTGTCTTGTCTCATTTTGTGTCCTGTACCTGTTTGACCTTTACCACATTTCACTTAATCTGTGTTGTGCTTTGTATAGGAGTTAGTTGACATTCAGGACCTCAAACTGATTTTATTGAATTAATGGAATAAAGAATGTTAAACCCTATAACTTTAATGGGTGAGTTTTTGTTCAATTTTGGTTGACAAACAGATGAGGAACGTGAGTGCTCATTCCCCAAAAAAACATCACTCACAGTACATTAAAAACTGTATTCAAGATACAAAAATAACTTTGATTCTGAAAATTATAATAGAAATGTCGAACATTCTATTATTCTGACAGTATGTCATCGTGTTTTTATCGCTAAGTGACTTAAAGAGAACAATTTTTTAATATGGTCCAATATTCAGAGTTGCAGCTGCAAAGGTGAAATAGGCTGCAATGTAATTCCAACAGGCAATTGCGCACTATCAATTAGTGTCCCTTAAAAGTGCTTGTTTTTGCCACTGACAGGCTCAGAAGTGTCTGTTAACAATACGGAAAAAAAACCTGCAGAGATATGAAATGTTTTTCTTTACCTTCCACTGGTCTGTTTGTTATTGTGACCAAGTCTTACTTCAGGAAAAGTCTTGTTCTGAAATGTCACCAGTGACGACTTCCTGGAGGAAAAACACTTGTGGAAACGTTTGTAAGCATTGGAGAGAGGAGTGTTGTTAACATTTTGTTGTGTTGGAGCACAGAAAGCATAGCTTAGTGTTATCTAAAAGATTTCCAGTGTCACTGATGAATATTGAGCTTATTTTGACCAAGTTAAAAAGTTAAGCAGGACTTGGTTACATACACTAAGAAACAAACCGGATTAATGAACGTTAGGGATGCATCTTAATAACAGAAGTCATTGGTATCGGCCAATACTGGCTTTAAAATCAACCATCAGAATCGGCCAACATGCTTTTTCTTATTTTGCACAATGAATTAAAATAACATACACTGAAAAGTATTGTTCACCATGTCTCCAGTTGCTGGGGGGCCATCACGATAAGAGTACACATGCATAATATGATGTTACTTCCACTACAGAAGAGACTTGATGATCACTAAAATTAGGTGGGAAAAAATGTTGATGTATTGATATCGGTATCAGCTAAATGAGTTACTATATCGGCATATCGGATATCTGCAAAATATCCAATATCGTGCATTCCTGTAAAGGGACACATATCATGCCTCTGTAAGGTCCTTTCCATAATGTTGTCAATCCACTTATTATAATAATAATGTCTGTGACAAACACAAGCACTTTTATTGGATGTAAACTGACATCACACAATTGCCCATATTGATTACATTGCAGCCTTTTTCACCTCTGCATCCGCAGCCCTCTTGCTCAATATTGGACCAATTTAAAAAACAAAAATATGGGAAAATAAAGTCCAGGTTGAAAAATAAATTAGTTTCCCTCTAAAAGCACGTAGTTTGAGCTCTCTCAGCAGCAGCAGTCAGTCGCTATTTAATTACAAATTAAATTAATTAATTAATTAATATTCTGCGCTATGATGTTAATACCGTCTTCTGAACCTATAATGCCACAACTGGCCCCACTGTCAATACAGGGGACTTTAATCCTGGACAAAAAATGTAACAATAACTTTTTAAGAAACTGCCTTACTGGAATACTATTCCCCGGCAGACAAAACAAAAATGATATCCTACATAAATTTGATTTTTAAAAAAATCAACTAAGAACAATGTACCTACCCCCAAAATGAAAGAAACACACTTCAAAATCAAGAACGACATTTATCCCTCTAAAGAATTACTTAGACTACGTTTTAATATGGATGACAATATATGCACACTTTGTGAAAGTGACATTGAAACTACGGACCATATATTTTTCTCATGTGGTATAATACAAACATTCTGGCTTAATATTCACAAATGGATCAAACAAAAAATCTCATTGTTTCCTGCTTCTTTCTCTAGAGATGATATTCCACAACAATACTGAAATCATCGCCCAAATGTATTGTCTTCATGAGTGAATTTCAAATGTACATGAAATCTTTAAAACTTCAAAAAGGAATAAAAGCACAAAAATTAGGCCATATATTTTAAAAAATGTCCCCACTGAACTGGATAACTGAAACTGATCTGAATTCCCCCTTGTGAAATCAGTGATTATTTGTCTTGTTATTTCACCGTATTCAATTAATTATATGTATTTTATTGATATGTTTATTTTAATTTTACTTCAATCCGTTCTGAATTACTACATTGAAGCACCCAACGTGTATGTTATATTTTGAGATGATTTGCTTAGGTTGATGCTCCCTTGGCAATCTCTTTATACTGTTGCAATTAATGTACAATGGAAGTTGCCTCATTTGTTTATTTTTGTACGTTTTCAATAAAGCATTGAAAAAAAAAAAGAAGTCTTCCGTCTACTGCGGAAGCGCTGCTTTGTTTACTTCCCCTGGGTGTCGCACTGACCTTCCGGCAGTCGATTCATCCGTTTTCATTTCAGGTAACATATCTCTCTCTTTTAATTTCCATGGGATTTTTTCCCCCCAATTTTTCCCCAAGGCTCTCGGTCCTCTCCTGAATAAAGAGCTGCTGATCAGTGATAACCTCCTCCACCTTACAGACATGTTGCTGTGGAGGCTCTGGAGGGACAGACAACAAAAATAACATGATACTGTGTATATAGATATGAGAGCAAATAATGCCAAAATAAATTAAGAACTGAGTTATTTATAATGAAAAATCCCCAATTCTATGTCATTAAAATGAGTAGGTTTTACATACCTATCCTGTGTAACTTTATTTCAGGTTTCCAAACGATGTCCAACAGCCTGCGCAGACGTCTTGAAAAAGCAAAATCCAAGGCAACTCTTCTCTGGTGCAAAACATGTTTTGGCCATGCTCACTGGCCTTCATCAGGGCAGTGAGCATGGCCAAAACATGGTGGTGTTTTTAATGTTCATCATGAACTAGCCATTGAATAAAGGCCTTTGAACTTTAGTACCAGAGAAGAGTTGCCTTGGATTTTGCTTTTTCAAGATGTACTGCACTTCCTGACCAAAGAGCACCTTCCTGGTTACCATGATACTGCAACCCACGAGCGCTTCGTCTGCTGCTGTCTTCAAGTCTGCGCTGACGGTTGATCTCTTCTTCATACTCGACGAGAGTTTTTGTAAAAACTCTGAATATTTCTTCAGCAGCAGCAGTTAGTCTCTGTTTGAAAAACTCTCTCAAATACTCAACTGAAGACATTGTTGTTTAATTACCAATCAAATCATTATCTGCGCTAGTTTAATAGTACTGTGCCACAAACTACATCAATACACACATGCAGCTAATGCTTCTGGCTCTTGTGTTGTTTACTTCCGCTGGATGTCACACTGAGAAGTTCCGACAGTGGAAATGAGCTCGTTTTTCATTCCGCTTTCACTTTAAGGTTTTTTTAATTCATTGTGCACAAGTTCATTTATAGAAAGAAACGTAGACAGACAACAAAAAAGAAAAACAGAAGTAGACAAGAAAAAAAATCACATTTTATAAAGTCAGTGTTTGTGTTATATGCATCATATTATAATCACTTAGTAACTTGAAGGTCTTCATGGCTTTTTTGTTTTTGACATTGGATAAGATGGTGGCATATTGTTGGAACGCATTAATAAAGTGCAGGAAAGTTGGTTTGGTTTCTGACCACTTTTATTACAAATTAAGAATTTTCCAAAAATAATAAAAGTTGTATATTACACTTGTTATTTTTAATCTTGACTAAAATATAGCATTGCATCAGACATATTTATCTGAACACTTATCTGAAATGTCTTTATTATAAAGATGGCAGCATCAATCCAAAACATTCTGTATATATACACAAGAACAAAAAAAGAAAAGAGAAATACTCTCTTTTTACAGTCCACAGAAATCACATTTATAATGAAAATCCAGGCTGAATCTTTCAAACAAACTTTACTATGTAAATTCTTTGTAATTTCTTGAAAGATACTTCCTTAATCTTGTTATTTGTACAGTATTTATTACACATTTTCCATGTGTTTTCACACTTGGCTTAGCCCCATCCTATCTATCTGAGCTTGTTCAGCTTCACACGCCAGCCAGAGCACTGAGATCAAACAACCAGCTGCTGCTGGCCTGTCCCAGAACTAAACTGAAAAGCAAAGGTGACAGAGCCTTTTCCGTTGTGGCGCCAAATTTATGGAATAATAAAAACCTACCTCTTTTCGCTTGCCGTCACCTCAAGTTGAGATAGACATGTCTTTTATAGCTTTTATTTGTATTTAACCTTTACTCTAGTGTTGAAGGGTGTTTTTATTGTCTTAACCTATTGTTGATTTTATTGATAACTTATGTTGTTTTTGCTATTCATTCATTCATTTATTTATATTTGGAAGAACTGTACAACACTTTGGTCAACTGAGGTTGTTTTAAATGTGCTATATCAATAAATTTGACTTGACATAATATCATCACATGAAGAAGACAAAAACACCTTGATGAAGGAACAGTAACATGACTTATTGTGTTCCTAATATTTTTGTTAGACCACTTCTATTTTAATATATACTTCCACCAATATGAAGAAGAAAGTTTGGTTATTGTCTCTGCACTTAACTGAAATGTTTTTGCAGTATTTTGAGGTAAATAATTTAAATAAAACATATTAGCAGGGGTAGAACTTGAAACAGGTAACCCACCTGTGTGGGTTTCAACAGAAAACTACTTGTCTGTGTGCACATTTTTATGATGCCCTTTCAGTTCAGTCGCTGTGACAAATCTTTTCCCACAGGTCTTGCAAAGGTGCGGCTTTTCACCAGTGTGGGCTCTCCTCGTGTGGTCTGTCAAGTGACTACTACACCTGAAAATTTTCTCACATATATCACAAGCATATGGCTTCTCACCAGTGTGTGTTCTCATGTGGACCAACAAACTACTACTAAATCCAAAACCCTTTCCACAGGTTTTGCAAGTATATGGCTTTTCACCAGTGTGTGTTCTCATGTGGATCGACAATCTACTACTAAGTCCAAAACCCTTTCCACAGGTTTTACAAGTATATGGCTTCTCACCAGTGTGTGATCTCATGTGGGCCATTAAATTATTGTTACATCCAAAACCCTTTCCACAGGTTTTGCAAGTATATGGCTTCTCACCTGTGTGTGTTCTCATGTGGACCAACAAACTACTATTTAATCCAAAACCTTTTCCACAGGTTTTGCAAGTATATGGCTTCTCACCAGTGTGTGTTCTCATGTGGACCAACAAGTTACTGTTACATCCAAAACCTTTTCCACAGATTTTACAAGTATATGGCGTCTCACCAGTGTGTGCTCTCATGTGGACTGACAAGGACCTTTTATGTCTGAAATCTTTTCCACATGTTTTGCAAGAATAAGGCGTTTCACCTGAGTGGATTCTTGTGTGGCTAATTAAGTCTTGACTATATGTGAAATGTTTGCCGCATGTTTGGCAAGTATATGGCTTCTCACCTGTGTGGATTCTCATATGTCTATTCAATCGTGACATGACACAGAATTCTTTCCCACAGGTCTTGCAAACATACAACTCAGCTGTGTGGAGTCTCATGTGGGCTGACAAGGATGTTTTAAGTCTGAAAACTATTCCACATGTTTTGCAAATATACGGCTTCTCACCTGAGTGGATTCTCATGTGATCGATTAAGTATTGATTTTGTGCAAAACCTTTCCCACATAATTTGCAAAACAACGGCTTCTCACTTGAGTGGACTCTCAGGTGTCTCTCCAGTGATGACTTATACTGGAAATCTTTCCCACATGTGTCACATTTTAAAGACTTTTTACCTGTGCGAGAATTGCAGCGACTTCTGCTTTTATGGTGTCTTTCCTTTGGTTCTGCCTCTGCATCTCTAGTTGGTCCTGAGTCTCCATGCTTGCCTCCTTTCTGCTCTTTGCTCTCAGCCTCATGAGAATTGTGAAAGAGGACCTGGTGGTCACTGTGCGCTTCTGACAGCACAGAACTTATAACTGGCATGTTGGCTACAGACTCTTTCTCTGCTCTACCAAAAGTATCATCAGAGTCCAGAGTCTGATTTTCACTGGGGTCACTTTCCTCATGAGTAGGAGTCAATATAAAGGTATCAGCCTCCTCCTTCATTTCAAGGTGCTCTCGCTCCTGACTGGTGCAGAGTTCCTCCTGTTCCTCTTTAATCTGTGGAGGCTCTGGGTCCTCTTGGTCCAGACTGGAGGTCCTCTCCTGAATACAGAGCTGCTGGTCTGTGAGAGCCTCCTCCTCCTTACACACATGTTGCTGTGGGAGCTCTGGAGGGACAAAGAACATGAGGGATAAGATACTGCTGTGATTGTAGAAATGCGAGCAAATTAATGTCACTATAAACGAAAATGGATTATCTATAAATAGAAGTCCTCCGTTTGTTGTCATTAAAATTAGTAGGTTTTACATACCTATCCTGTGTAACTTTATTTCAGGTTTCAAAACGACGTCCAACAGTCTGCGCTGACGGTTGATCTCTTCCTCGTACTCGACGATAGTTTTTGTAAAAACTCCGAATATTTCTTCAGCAGCAGCAGTTAGTCTCTCTTTGACAAACTCTCTCAAATACTCTACTGAAGACATTGTTATTTAATTACTAATTAAATCATTATCGGCGGTTCTATGATACTACCGTCCGCCAACCGCTTCAACACAAACATGCAGCTAACGCTTCCCCCGCTTGTGTTGTTTACTTCCGCTGGATGTCACACTGAGAAGTTCCGACAGTGGGAATGAGCTCGTTTTTCATTCCGCTTTCACTTAATTTTTTTTAAATTCATTGTGCACAAGTTCATTTATAAAAAGAAACGTAGACAGACAACAAAAATGAAAAATTAAGAAGACAAGAAAAAAAAATCACATTTTATGATGTCAGAGTCTGTGGTGTAACACGCCCACAAAAATATCACCTACAGGACGCGAACCATGGCAGAAAAATGGCTACATCCCCGCAAGACCAAACACCGCAAAAGTTAGTAAAGGACGGGGGATCCGAGAAGATGGCGGCGATGTCGGGAGCCCTTTAAGACGTCTCCTGTTAATTTGGACTCCAACTGCAAATTTACGCCTTAACAGAAACCAAATCAAAATAAGCTCGTTAATTAAGTTATTGACTAAAAGCAAGATACAGTTTGAAGCTATAGATGCGTATCTAAGATGCCAACAAAAAAAAAAGAAAAGAAAACTCCAGTGGTGAAACAACTTGGTGAGTTTGCTTCCAGCAAAAATCTGCAAACAAAAGATGAGCGGCCAAGGGAAAAAGGGAGCTAAAAGAAAAGGCATGGATCCGAGCACACCGAAAAGTAAGTCAAGTGAACACAATTATGCAGAGCAAACGGCAGAGATGAGCATGGATTGTGCACTTGATGTTGAAACAGAGCTCATCCCTCTACAAGGTACCCCCGTTAACAGCCCGGCCGCCAAGAAAATTTTCAGCGGGAAACCAGAGTCCTCCATGTATGACCTGCAAATGACCATCCTGAATACGATAAACGACAGAGCGGATGAACTGGCACAAATGATCAACAGCAACACTTCAGACATCAAAGATCCGAAATATTCTCTGGAGTTTGCCCACGGAGAAATTAGTGACATCAAAACAGAAAATGCTGTGCTGAAAAAACAATGTGAGAAACATCAGATGGAAATAAAGTCACTGCAGGAGCAAGTCACAGAGGCTGAACGGTATAAGACCCACCGAGCATTTTTCGGTGTAAAAGACGTCTAATAGACGTCTAATGGTCCTTAGACGTCTGGGCTAAAATCAGTCTACCACTGGTCTAAAAATGAAAGTTTTTTAGCCATCTAAGCTTAGACTAGCCGTCTAAAAGATGACTACGTCTATACGCCTCGTCTAATCTTTTTACATTTAAATAACCGCTAATATACGTCTATTTATAGACGTCTAAAGTTAGATGATTGCCAGACGTTTATTTTTATACCAAATGTATACGCCTCGTCTAATCTTAGACGTTTAAATAACTGCTAATGAACGTCTATTTATAGACGTCCAAATTTAGACGTTTGCCAGACGTTTATTTTTATACCAAATGTATACGCCTCGTCTAATCTTAGACGTTTAAATAACTGCTAATGAACGTCTAGACGTCTAAATTTAGACCTCGTCTAAATTTAGACTATAAATAGACGTTCATTAGACGTCTAGACGTCTATAAATAGACGTTCATTAGCAGTTATTTAAACGTCTAAGATTAGACGAGGCGTATACATTTGGTATAAAAATAAACGTCTGGCAAACGTCTAAATTTGGACGTCTATATATATTATTAGAGTTATTATTTAAGATTGTTCATAGATACTATCCCACAAAAGCAAACATATGTAAATTCTTCCCAAATGTAACTAACAAATGTACTTTTTGTGGTTGTGAGGAGGAAACCATTGAACATGTATTTTTAGATTGTTTTCATGTTACTTCCTTTTACTTTTGTTTACAAAAATATTTATCCAAAATTTTGAAAAAACATATTATACTAAGTAAATCTGATATACTACTCATAGTTAATAATTCTACTTTGTCCTCTGATGAAACATACATCATAAATTTAATTAACATCCTAGCTAAATATTACATACATAAAATGATCTGGCATAAAAAAATACCCTCCTTTAAAAATTTTGAAAATATAGACCTGAAAACGTATATACATACTATTGATAACTTAAAACTTAAAACCAATAAGTTAAGTAAAACTAGTTAAAGGATGTGTTGAAAACTGCTACACAACCGGAGGTGGTAGGGCGGGACTTCAGCGGGTGGCTCGTTCCGCCCAATGAGAGGCTGATCTATGCAGCGAACTTCCGCCCACTCAGACTAGAGTTTGTGTTACGTATATGCAGTGGTCAATTGTTCATTTTTAACAAGGGGGATGCAATGTAGCTTTGATTTTTTTTTTGCGTGCACACATCATCAAATTTGACAGTACAGATGTGCAAAATTAATCAAGATAAAGAAAAATTGCATGATATATACCTGCTGCCTTTAAAAAAGCAAATAATGTAATAGTATTGCTATTGCAATACAAACAAAAAACATTTTAGAGTATAAATAAGAGTAGTTCTGAAATAGCTGTGAAAATTAGTCTAGGAGTCACCCTTATCCAATAGTTATAATTTCTCCTTACCTGTGAAGCCTTGGGCTGATAATTGGTGCTGATGTCAGGTCCCTGTCCTGATACCTGCCTGGTTTCTCCCTGTCCCTCTTCTATCTATTGCAATAATATAGATAATAAATGGGCAAAGCAAAATTCAGAAATATAATTAAGAATAGTAGTGGTGACATAGCTGTGGAAATTAATGGAAAAGTCACTTTTATGCTATAGATATTTTCTCTCAGCCAGTTATAATCTCTTCTCACCTGTGGGGACCCTGCATGATCATCCTTGCTGGCCTCTGGTCCACTGTCTCCTCCCTGACCCTGCTCTTTCTATTGTGGCAATAAAGATTAAAAAAAAATATGTGCAAAGCAATAGTGAGCACAAGTTCTGCACAGAAATTAAGGAGGAAGGGGTTTATTCCTAGCATGAAACTAGCTAGCAAGCAATTTAACATAGGTAACCATAACATTAGTATTCTTGTTAACTAGCTTAATGTGGCAGTATGAGGGCTTTAAAGGGTTATTGCAAAGATTTAACCTTGTGAAATTTGAAAAGAAAACTGGCAACGCCACCCTGGGAATTTCACCCCAGGAGTTTTAAATAAATATAAATAGTAATGGCAAGGCGCACAGGTAATTTATACAAGGAAGAGCAGGAGATGTGGTTAAACGTTTAACAAATATTACCAAATTTATTTAATTGCTTGTCACAAAATAAGTTAAGAATGATTTAAAAGAACTAAATTGTTACACCCTACTCCAGTGGCTGAGGCTTACCGACAGTGAGGGGCAAACTGGGGGAAGGAAGTCCAAAATAAATGAAGAGCACCCCACTCTACGTAACACTCACACAGTAATGGTGAAGTGCAAAGAAACCAAAACCAGGATCACACAGCACACAAAGGGAAACCACCACCTGGAACCCCGCCACCACTGTTGGCTCTCAGCAATTATCTTGACGTCCAGAGAGTTCAGCCACAGGTCCCGATTGGCGGACGTCCTCCCAGTGAGGAGAAAGATGAGGAGGCTCTGCACTGCTCCGTGCTAACTGGAGCATCTGTGGTGCGCCGGTGATGCATTCAGGCTGGTGATGCTGGTTTTTTAAGTGCCTATGGCGAACAACAAAGATAAGCGACGACATGAGCAGTCATTGTTGAGAGAAACTTTGATTTTTGCACCTAAGGACTGATTAGTAAGTTATACCAACGGTAAATGGCAACTTGAGGCATTGAAGTTCGAGAGCCAGTGAGGGATTGCTTTCATGTAAAGTGGAAAATGCTGCTTAATCAAGTTTGTGGGGAAAGTAGCCAGCGTCAACTAGCGCTAATTAGCTAGTGCTAACACCTGAGAACGGTTATACCATATCCCTACCATATCCCTACAGCTACCTGCATCCATGACACCTACCTCCATGTCTGGGAAAAGAGGTAAGGACAGAGGAAGATTAAGGGCCTGCAAGGTGGACCGCAATCTCTTTGCCCTCATACGTAACAACGTACCTGCTGTTGGTGCAGAGATGGAAGTCAACGCCATGGGCTATACTCTTATACGCGTCCTCAAAATCTTGACCCTGAATGTGTGCCACTACCTGACTCCAAGTCAAGCAGTCCCGCAGTGAAGAAAGTGAAACCTGAGCCAACTCTGGTTGAGCTGCAGGACAATATCATAAGGCTGTTGATGGAGAAAATAGATGAAAGAGCTGATGGTCTGGAAAAGAAGGCTGATGCGCTGGAGAAATTGACTCAACATAATGCAGCAAGTATTGACGCTTTGAAAGAAAACATAGAGAAATTCAAGACATGAAAAAAGATGTAACCACTGTGAAGACGGTAACTATTGACCATGAGAGGAGAATCTCTGAGTTAGAGGACAAGGTGAATGATGCTGATCGTTACCAGAGACGCTGGAATCTGAGGCTTTACGGACTTCCAGAGCTAGAAGGAGAAGACGTCAAGCAGCGGGTGATGGACATCTGCCGGGCAATTGCTCCAGAGGTCTGGGTCCCTTTCCATCTCCACATCGACGTCAGCCACCAGGTAGGAATGAGGACCGGAGACAAGGTACGACCAGTCATCACACTTTTCATCTCCAGAGCAACTGAAGAGATGGTATGGAAAAGTGCCAAGAACTCAGACTATCATGTCCAGAAAACTTAGATTTGGAGAAGATCTGACTACAAGAGATAAAAAGACTAGAATCAAACTTTGGCCCCACATTGAGGAAACTCGCAAGGAGGGGACAAAGGCCTTCTTTCGGGGGGTCAAGTCCATAATTGACAGGAAAGAGCTGCAGTATGATGGATGACAGCATGACACTATAGCTGTCTTGAGGTGACTATTTAAGGTATAACACTGGTAACTTTATTTTGATAGTAGGTGCTGAAAATCTTTTTTTTTTCTCTTTGTTTTTTGTTTATTGTCTCTGTGAGTGTGTGAGTGACACTGTCCTTATCACTGTGCTCATTGAATATTAGGGGTATCAGAGACAATTTGAAAAGGAAAGCCGTCTTTCTGTTTTGCGAAAAATTTAAGGCGATTTCTGTTTTTTACAAGAGACTCATGCATAAGTGGCTGATTATAAGTTTTGGAAGAATCAATAGGGAGATGACATCTGGATGGCTTACTGCAGCAATAACTCTGCAGGTGTGGCTATTTTAAATGGGAAATTTAAAGGTAAAATTTTGAAGAGTAAAATGCATGTGTTTGGTAGATGGGTCATTCTGGTTGTAAAAGTTGTGGACATTATTTTTATTTTGGGAAATATTTATGGTATAAATAACAGTTCCAGAAACCAAGCCTTATTTCATGAAGTGGAGAAAGAAATCTGCACATTTCTAACAACTTTTCCCAATGCAAAATTAATCCTTGGAGGATACTGGAACTCTATTAAAAACCCAATGTTAGACTGTACACCACTGCGTCCTGTGAGAGCTAACAATAATGCAGAATTTGACAATTTATGATTTAATTTAAACTGTCTTGATATCTGGAGACATAGGAATCCCGACAAATGTCACTTCACATGGGAAACTAAAAGATATGAGCAAACAGTCAAGAATAGATTTCTGGTTAATATCTACAGAATTAGAGAAATATGTAATGGATGTCCACATTAAACCATCTGTACTCACAGATCACAAACTTATTTACATCTCAGTAAATCTTGATAACACAATGAAAGGCAGAAGAATGAATATAAGTTACTGGAAATTTAGTCTCTATATACAGACTCCACATTCAGTAAGATGGTGATATATTGTCAGAACTCATTAATAAGACTAATTAAGAAGTTTCCAAAAATAATAAAAGTTGTATGATAAACGTGTTATTTTTAATCTTGACTAAAATATAGCATTGCATCAGACATATTTATTTGAACATTTATCTGAAATGTCTCTTTTATAAAGTTGGCAGCATCGATCCAAAACATTCTGGTATATATAAACAAGAACAAAAAAAGAAAAGAGAAATACTCTCTTTTTACAGTCCACAGAAATCACATTTATAATGAAAATCCAGGCTGAAACTTTCAAACACAAACTTTACAGTGTAAATTCTTTGTAATTTATTGAAAGATACTTCCTTAATCATGTTATTTGTACAGTATTTATTACACATTTTCCATGTGTTTTCACACTTTATATCATCACATGAAGAAGACAAAAACACCTTGATGAAGGAACAGTAACATGACTTATTGTGTTCCTAATATTTTTGTTAGACCACTTCTATTTTAATATATACTTCCACCAATATAAAGAGGAAAGTTTGGTTATTGTCTCTGCACTTAACTGAAATGTTTTTGCAGTATTTTGAGGTAAATAATTTAAATAAAACATATTAGGGGTAACCCACCTGTTTGGGTTTCAACAGTAATTTACTTGTCTGTGTGCACATTTTTATGCCCTTTCAGTTCAGTCGCTGTGACAAATCTTTTTCCACAGGTCTTGCAAAGGTGCGGCTTTTCACCAGTGTGGGCTCTCCTCATGTGGTCTGTCAAGTGACTACTACACCTGAATTTTTTCTCACATGCTTCACAAGCATATGGCTTCTCACCAGTGTGTGTTCTCATGTGGGCCAACAAATTACTACTAAGTACAAAACCCTTTCCACAGGTCTTGCATGTATATGGCTTCTCACCAGTGTGAGTTCTCATGTGGGCCAACAAACTATAAGCCCAAAACCCTTTCCAAAGGTTTTACAAGCATATGGCTTCTCACCTGTGTGTGTTTTCACATGAACCAACAAGTGACTGTTTTGTCCAAAACCCTTTCCACAGGTCATACAAGTATATGGCTTCTCATCAATGTGTGTCCTCATGTGGGCCAACAAATGACTGCTTTGTCCAAAACCCTTTCCACATGTTTTGCAAATATATGTCTTCCCACATGTGTGGACTCTCAGGTATTTCTCCAGTGATGATTTATGCCTAAATCTTTCCCATGTGTCACATTTTAAAGCCTTTTTACATGCGCGAATATTACAGTGACTTCTGCTTTTATGGTGTCTTTCCTTTAGCTCTGCCTCTGTATCTCTAGTTGGTCCTGAGTCTCCATGCTTGTCTCCTTTCTGCTCTTTGCTCTCAGCCTCATGAGGATTGTGAAAGAGCAGCTGATGGTCACTGTGTGCTTCTGATACTACAGAGCTTATAACTGGCATGTTGGCTACAGACTCTTTCTCTGCCGTACTAAGAGTATCATCAGAGTTGAAGTCCAGAGTCTGATCTTCACCGTGGTCACTTTCCTCATGAGTAGGAGTTGACATAAAGGTATCAGCCTCCTCCTTCAGTTCAAGCTGCTCTCCCTCCTGACTGGTGCAGAGTTCCTCCTGTTCCCCGGTCCTCTTGGTGCAGACTGGAGGTCCTCTCCTAAATACAGAGCTGCGGATCAGTGAGAACCTCCTCCACCTTACAGGCATTCTTGCTGTGGGAGCTCTGGAGGGACAGACAACATGAACAAGATACTGTGTATATAGAAATGAGAGCAAATAATGCCAAAATAAATTAAGAATTGAGTTATTTATAATAAAATTTCCCCAATTCTATGCAATTAAAATTAGTAGGTTTTACATACCTATCTTGTGTAACTTTATTTCAGGTTTCCAAACGATGTCCAACAGTCTGCGCTGACGGTTGATCTCTTCTTCATACTCGACTATAGTTTTTGTAAAAACTCTGAATATTTCTTCAGCAGCAGCAGTTAGTCTCTGTTTGAAAAACTCTCTCAAATACTCAATTGAAGACATTGTTGTTAAATTACCAATCAAATCATTATCTGCGCTAGTTTAATAGTACTGTGCCACAAACTACATCAACACACACATGCAGCTAACGCTTCCGGTGCTTGTGTTGTTTACTTTTGCAGGATGTCACACTGAGAAGTTCCGACAGTGGACATGAGCTCGTTTTTCATTCTGCTTTCATTTTAAGGTTTTTTTAATTCATTGTGCACAAGCTCATTTATAGAAAGAAACGTAGACAGACAACAAAGAAGAAAAACATAAGTAGACAAGAAAAAAATCACATTTTATAAAGTCAGAGTTTGTGTTATATGCATCATATTATAATCACTTAGTAACTTGAAGGTCTTCATGGCTTTTTTGTTTTTAAAATATATTTTTTGGGGCATTTTTACCCTTTAATGGATAGGACAGACAAGCATGAAGGGGGGGAGAGAGAGAGAGGGAGTGATATGCAGCAAAGGGCCACAGGCTGGAGTTGAGCCCGGGCCGCTGCAGCAACAGCCTTGTACATGGGGCGCCTGCTCTACCACTAAGCCACAGATGCCCTGTGACTTTTTTGTTTTTGACATTGGATAAGATGATGGCATATTGTTGGAATGCATTAATAAAGTGCAGCAAAGTTGGTTTGGTTTCTGATCACTTTTTATTACGAATTAAGAGTTTTCCAAAAATAATAAAAGTTGTATATTACACGTGTTACTTTTAATCTTGACTAAAATATAGCATTGCATCAGACATATTTATCTGAACATTTATCTGAAATGTCTTTATTATGAAGATGGCAGCATCAGTCCAAAACATTCTGGTATATATACACAAGAACAAAAAAAGAAAAAAAAAGAAAAGAGAAATACTCTCTTTTTACAGTCCACAGGAATCACATTTATAATGAAAATCCAGGCTGAATCTTTCAAACACAAACTTTACTGTGTAAATTCTTTGTAATTTCTTGAAAGATACTTCCTTAATCTTATTATTTGTACAGTATTTACCACACATTTTCCATGTGTTTTCACACTTAATATCATCACATGAAGAAGACAAAAACACCTTGATGAAGGAACAGTAACATGACTTACTGTGTTCCTAATATTTTTGTTAGACCACTTCTATTTTAATACATACTTCCACCAATATAAAGAGGAAAGTTTGGTTATTGTCTCTGCACTTAACTGAAATGTTTTTGCAGTATAAATTTAAATAAAACATATTAGCAGGGGTAGAACTTGAAACAGGTAACCTACCTGTGTGGGTTTCAACAGAAATTTACTTGTCTGTGTGCACATTTTTATGCCCTTTAGTTTTTGGACTGTCAAAAGTTACTACTATACCTGAATATTTTCTCTCATATTTCACAAGTGTATGGTTTCTCACCTGTGTGGATTGTCATATGTCTTTCCAATTGTGACATGACACAGAATATTTTCCCACAGGTTTGCAAGCCTACGACTTCTCACCTGTGTGTGTTCTCATGTGGACCAACAAACTACTTTTAAACCTGAAACTTTTCCCACAGGAGTTGCAAGTATATGGCTTCTCACCAGTGTGTAATCTCCTGTGGACCAACAAACTACTTTTAAACCTGAAAATTTTCCCACAGGATTCGCAAGTATATGGCTTCTCACCAGTGTGTGATCTCATGTGGGCCATTAAATTATTGTTACGTCCAAAACCCTTTCCACAGGTTTTGCAAGTAAAAGGCTTCTCACCTGTGTGTGATCTCATGTGGACCAACAAACTACCGTTACATCCAAAACTTTTTCCACAGATTTTACAAGTGTAAGGCTTCTCACCTGTGTGTGTTCTCATGTGGGCCAACATACTACTGCTTTGTACAAAACCCTTTCCACAGGTTTTACAAGTATATGGCTTCTCACCTGTGTGTATTCTCATGTGAGCCAAAAAATTACCGTTACATCCAAAACCTTTTCCACAGATTTTACAAGTAAAAGGCTTCTCACCTGTGTGTGTTCTCACGTGGACCAACAAACTACCATTACATCCAAAACCTTTTCCACAGATTTTACAAGTATAAGGCTTCTCACCTGTGTGTGTTCTCATGTGGACCAACAAAGTACTGCTTTGTCCAAAACCCTTTCCACAGATTTTACAAGTATAAGGCTTCTCACCTGTGTGTGTTCTCATGTGGACCAACAAAGTACTGCTTTGTCCAAAACCCTTTCCACAGATTTTACAAGTATAAGGCTTCTCACCTGTGTGTGTTCTCATGTGGACCAACAAAGTACTGCTTTGTCCAAAACCCTTTCCACAGATTTTACAAGTATAAGGCTTCTCACCTGTGTGTGTTCTCATGTGGACCAACAAATTACTGCTTTGTCCAAAACCCTTTCCACAGATTTTACAAGTATAAGGCTTCTCACCTGTGTGTGTTCTCATGTGGACCAACAAACTACTGCTTTGTCCAAAACCCTTTCCACAGATTTTACAAGTATAAGACTTCTCACCTGTGTGTGTTCTCATGTGGGCCAAATAGGCATTACTAAATCTGAAATTTTCTCCACATGTTTTGCAAGTGTATGGCTTCTCACCTGAGTGGCATTTCATGTGGCCGGTCAACTGAGAATTCTGCTTGAAACCTCTCCCACATTGTTTGCACGTAAACAGCTTCTCACTTGTGTGGACTCTCAGGTGTCTCTCCAGTGATGACTTATACTGGAAATCTTTCCCACATGTGTCACATTTTAAAGACTTTTTACCTGTGCGAATATTACAGTGACTTCTGCTTTTATGGTGTCTTTCCTTTAGTTCTGCCTCTGCATGTCTAGTTGGTCCTGAGTCTCCATGCTTGCCTCCTTTCTGCTCTTTGCTCTCAGCCTCATGAGGATTGTGAAAGAGGACCTGGTGGTCACTGTGTGCTTCTGACAGCACAGAACTTATAACTGGCATGTTGGCTACAGACTCTTTCTCTGCTTCACCAAAAGTATCATCAGAGTCCAGAGTCTGATCTTCACCGTGGTCACTTTCCTCATGAGTAGGAGTTGACATAAAGGTATCAGCCTCCTCCTTCTGTTCAAGCTGCTCTCCCTCCTGACTGGTGCAGAGTTCCTCCTGTTCCTCTTTAATCTGTGCGGGCTCTGGGTCCTCTTGGTCCAGACTGGGGATCCTCTCCTGAATACAGAGCTGCTGGTCTGTGAGAGCCTCCTCCTCCTTACACACATTTTGCTGTGGGAGCTCTGGAGAGACAAAGAACACGAGGGATAAGATACTACTGTGACTGTAGAGATGCGAGCAAATTAATGCCACTATAAATGAAAATGGCTTATTTATAAATAGAAGTCCTCCGTTTGTTGTCATTAAAATTAGTAGGTTTTACATACCTATCCTGTGTAACTTTATTTCAGGTTTCAAAACGACGTCCAACAGTCTGCGCTGACGGTTGATCTCTTCCTCGTACTCGACGATAGTTTTTGTAAAAACTCCGAATATTTCTTCAGCAGCAGCAGTTAGTCTCTCTTTGACAAACTCTCTCAAATACTCTACTGAAGACATTGTTATTTAATTACTAATAAAGTAATTATACGCAAAGATTATTACGCATCGATCTGAATATCGTCTTCCCGCTTATTGAAGAACACACACATGCAGCCAACGCTACTGACGCTTTTATTGTTTACTTCCGGTTATGTCACACTGAAGGTCCGGTAGCAGAAGTGAGCTCGTCTTGTCGTTCCGTTCTCATTAAACACAAAATATATTTATCTTTTAATTTCTCGGGGGAAATTTGGTTATTTTCTATTAACCACTAGGTCTAAATTTAACTGTTGTCTTTTCGGAGCATTTCACAGACAATAACTTAAAATAAAAGCATATTTGCTGGGGTAGGAGACTTTATCATAGGTAAGTCAATGCAGAACACATTGTAAAATTACTCACCACATTCAATGTGTTAGTCAATATATTAAGTTACTGTACTGCAGTATCAGCAAAACATAATTTAAAGTATTGCACGTGAAAGATTTTATACATATAACTGAAGTTATCATGTGTAAATAGCATTTATGTAGGTGCTGGCTGATGTGGGGCCATTTTTTTAAACAGTTCTCATACATATGGATAGTTTAAAGGAGCTATATGTAAGAAATCTAAAGCAAATAGTCATAAAATCCTCCTAATATGTCACAGAGACTAAGGAATAATGTTCATATAACATACTGATCTCCCCGACAACAATATACAGCCAGAATATTCGCATTTAAAAAAATATTTTACGGTCCGCAAATCATGTTTATGTTTTGAATTTGTGTTTTGGCCTGTTGCGCCACCCACCGCCGTCTACCAGTCACACAGTCAGTAGAGTCTCAGGATCAGTTAGTTACAACTGAGCTACAGCAGCACGGCAAGCAGCGTTAGCAGTGTCCCAGTACATGGCATTAGCAGTCTCCTTAGCTGTATCCTGGCAGCGTGTTAGCAGCAGAGAAGCCAGACTTGCTTGAATGGTCCAGTCGGCTGGAAAACCGAAGATCACGGATTCGGCGTAGTATTTTGAATTTCAGTGCAGTAACCGTTTTGGCCACATTCTTACATACAGCGCCTTTAACAAAGCATTATATCTAAATGGCTCATTATAACATTTTGGATGTAAAATCCTGATCAGCTCAGTATTCAAATAAATGCATCAGACATAAAAAAGACCGTATTTGTACATGTTCTTGAACAGATAACCTACTCCATACAACTTCAAAAAAGACTGAGGAGAAAAACGGTGGAGAAAATGCTGTGTTTAACTAGCCAATGACAGAGCTCATATAATTATTGCATGTACCAAATGTAACATCCTACTTTAAATCAGGAAAATTAGCCTCAACTTTTTAAACCTCCTCCATTAATCCTGACCAAAGTCCCAACTCTATTCACAGAAATGCAGCCCCAAACCTGCAAGGAACCTCCACCATGCCTCACCGTTGTCTGCAGACACTCATTGTTGTAGCTCTCTTCAGCCCTTAAACGAAGAAAACTGCCAAATATTTCAAATTTTGACCCATCAGTCCAGAGCACTTACTGCCATTTTTCTGCACCCCAGTTCTTCTGTTTTCGTGCATAATTGAGTTGCTTGGCCTTGTTTACACGTCGGAGGTTTGGCTTCTTGACCACAATTCTTCCACGAAGACCACTTCTGGCCAGACTTCTAAGGACAACAGATGGATGTATCTGGGTCCTACTGGTTTCTACGATTTCTGAGCTGATGGCACTGCTGTACATTCTCCGCTTTCAAAGGGAAGTAAGCATAACATGTCTTTTATCTACTGCACTAAGTTCCTTGGCTGACCACTGCATCTACGGTCCTCAACATTTCTTTATGCTTCTTCAAAAAAGCTTGACCAACACATCTTGAAACCCCAGTCTGCTTTGAAATCTTTGCCTGGGAGAGACCTCGCTGATGCAGTACAACTACCTTGTGTCTTGTTGCTGTGCTCAGTCTTGTCATGGTGTATGACCTGTGACATAAAACTGTCTTCCACAACCTCACCTTGGTAACAGACTTTGGCTGTTCCTCACCCAGTTTTAAGCCTCCTACACAGTAGGGCCGTAACGGTACATGTATTTGTGTCGAACCATTCGGTACGCGACTTTCATTTCGGCACGACCCTGTACCGAATTATTGGGCGCAGGATATTATTTTATTCTGTTCCAGTTAATGACTGTGTTATAACCTTCATATTAAATTGATGATCATCAGCACCTGTCTGGTACAACTGGGTAATCATACACCTGACTATGATCCTACAAAATCCCTGACTTTGTGCAAATGCACCTGGAAGAATTGATCCTGTTTCGAAAGCAAAGAGTGGTCACACCAAATATTGACTTGATTTCGACTTTTCTTCTGTTTGCCATGCCCTGTAGGCCTCCTTCTCCAGCCTGACGGCTCCCTTCACCTCTGGTGTCCACCACCGGGTTCGGGGATTACTGCCGCGACTGGCCCCAGCAACCTTGCATCCACAGCTCACAACAGCCACCTCGACAATGGCAGAGAGGAACAAAGCCCATTCGGACTCAATGTCCCCCTCAGCCCTCGGGACGCGGTTGAAGCTCTCCCGGAGGTGGGAGTTGAAGATCATCTTGACCGGTTCTTTTGCCAGGTGTTCCCAGCAGACCCTCACTGCTCGTTTAGGCCTGCCAGGTCTGCGCGGCGTCCTCCCCTGCCATCTGATCCAACTCACTACCAGGTGGTGATCAGTTGACAGCTCTGCTCCTCTCTTCACACGAGTGTCCAGAACATACGGCCGCAGGTCAAATGATACGACTACAAAGTCAATCATTGACCTGCGCCCTAGGCTGTCCTGGTGCCACGTGCACCGATGGACATCCTTATGTTTTAACATGGTGTTTGTTATGGTCAAACTGTTATCCGCACAGAAGTCCAATAACTGAACACCTCTCTGGTTCAGATCAGGCATGCCGTTCCTCCCAATCACGCCCCTCCAGGTTCTTCTGTCATTGCCCATGTGAGCGTTGAAGTCCCCCAGCAGAACAATGGATTTCCCGGTCGGGGCACTATCCAGCACCCGTCCCAGGGACTCCAAAAAGGACGGGTACTCTGAACTGCTGTTCGGCACATAAGCGCAGACAACAGTCAGGACCCGTTCCCCGACCCGAAGGCGCAGGGAAGCAACCCTTTCGTCTACTGGGGTGAACCCCAACGTACAGACAGAGAGTCTAGGGGCTATCAGAAAGCCCACCCCGGCCCTCCGCCTCTCACCCGGAGCAACTCCAGCAAAGAAGAGAGTACAACCCCTCTCAAGGACTTGGGTTCCAGAGCCAGAACTATGTGTCGAGGTTAGGCCGACTATATCTAGCCGGTAACGCTCAACCTCTTCCACAAGCTCCGTCTCCTTTCCCGCCAGAGAGGTGACATTCCAGGAGACAGGAAACATTGACTCACGAAGTCCAGCTCTAGGAATAAGTAGGAAATCAGGAGAACTTTAGATTTTCAGGAAATATGACCCAAGCGTGTTCACACACACATATGCACATGAACAAGCAGACGCCCATTATAAAAGCATTTGAAGGGTGATTGCTGTTTCGCTGTTTCACTGTTTAGCTGTGTAGACTAGTATGCTGTTGTATGCTGAGTTCTGCGTATGCCAAGTATATGGTTTCTCACCCTTGTGGATTCTCATGTGGCTCATCATTGCTCAAGTTTTACAGAATCTCTTCTCAAAGGTCTTGCAAGGTCTCGCTTCCAGTGCTTGTGTTGTTTACTTTTGCAGGATGTCACACTGAGAAGTTCCGACAGTGGAAATGAGCTCCTTTTTCATTCCGCTTTCACTTTAAGGTTTTTTTTATTCATTGTGCACAAGTTCATTTATAAAAAGAAACTTAGACAGACAACAAAAAAGAAAAACATAAGTAGACAAGAAAAAAATCACATTTTATAAAGTCAGAATTTGTGTTATATGCATCATATTATAATCACTTAATAACTTGAAGGTCTTCAATGCTTTTTTGTTCTTGACAGTGGATAAGATGGTGGCATATTGTTGGAACGCATTAATAAAGTGCAGGAAAGTTGGTTTGGTTTCTGACCACTTTTTATTACGAATTAAGAGTTTTCCAAAAATAATAAAAGTTGTATATTATTACATTTATCTGAAATGTCTTTATTATAAAGATGGCAGCATCGATCCAAAACATTCTGGTATATATATATATATATATATATATACACTCTTTTTACAGTCCACAGGAATCACATTTATAATGAAAATCCAGGCTGAATCTTTCAAACACAAACTTTACTGTGTAAATTCTTTGTAATTTCTTGAAAGATACTTCCTTAATCTTATTTGTACAGTATTTACCACACATTTTCCATGTGTTTTCACACTTAATATCATCACATGAAGAAGACAAAAACACCTTGATGAAGGAACAGTAACATGACTTATTGTGTTCCTAATATTTTTGTTAGAGCACTTCTATTTTAATATACTTCCACCAATATAAAGAGGAACCTTTGGTTATTGTCTCTGCACTTAACTGAAATGTTTTTGCAGTACTCTGAGGTAAATAATTTAAATAAAACATATTAGCAGGGGTAGAACTTGAAACAGGTAACCCACCCGTGTGGGTTTCAACAGAAATTTACTTGTCTGTGTGCACATTTTTATGCCCTTTAGTTCAGTTGATGTGACAAATCTTTTCCCACAGGTCTTGCAAAGACGCAGCTTTTCACCAGTGTGGGCTCTCCTCATGTGGACTGTCAAAAGTTACCACTACAACTGAACATTTTCTCACATATTTCACAAGTGTATGGTTTCTCACCTGTGTGGATTGTCATGTCTTTCCAATTATGACATGACACAGAATATTTTCCCACAGGTTTGCAAGCCTACGGCTTCTCACCTGTGTGTGTTCTCATGTGGAACAACAAACTACTTTTAAACCTGAAAATTTTCCCACAGGATTCGCACGTATATGGCTTCTCACCAGTGTGCGATCTCATGTGGGCCATTAAATTATTGTTACGTCCAAAACCCTTTCCACAGGTTTTGCAAGTATATGGCTTATCAGCTGTGTGTAATCTCCTGTGGACCAACAAACTACTTTTAAACCTGAAAATTTTCCCACAGGATTCGCAAGTATATGGCTTTTCACCAGTGTGTGATCTCATGTGGGCCATTAAATTATTGTTACGTCCAAAACCCTTTCCACAGGTTTTGCAAGTATATGGCTTCTCACCTGTGTGTGTTCTCATGTGGACCAACAAATGACTGCTACACCCAAAACCTTTTCCACAGGTTTTACAAGTATATGGCTTCTCACCTGTGTGTATTCGCACGTGGACCAACAAACTACTGTTTAATCCAAAACTTTTTCCACAGATTTTACAAGTGTAAGGCTTCTCACCTGTGTGTGTTCTCATGTGGACCAACAAACTACTGCTTTGTCCAAAACCCTTTGCACAGGTTTTACAAGTATATGGCTTCTCACCTGTGTGTGTTCTCATGTGAACCAACAAATTACCATTACATCCAAAACCTTTTCCACAGATTTTACAAGTATAAGGCTTCTCACCTGTGTGTGTTCTTATGTGGACCAACAAACTACTGTTACATCCAAAACCTTTTCCACAGATTTTACAAGTATATGGCTTCTCACCTGTGTGTGTTCTCATGTGAACCAACAAATTACCGTTACATCCAAAACCTTTTCCACAGATTTTACAAGTATAAGACTTCTCACCTGTGTGTGTTCTCATGTGGGCCAAATAGGCATTACTAAATCTGAAATTTTCTCCACATGTTTTGCAAGTGTATGGCTTCTCACCTGAGTGGCATTTCATGTGGCCGGTCAACTGAGAATTCTGCTTGAAACCTCTCCCACATTGTTTGCACGTAAACAGCTTCTCACCTGTGTGGACTCTCAGGTGTCTCTCCAGTGATGACTTATACTGGAAATCTTTCCCACATGTGTCACATTTTAAAGACTTTTTACCTGTGCGAATATTACAGTGACTTCTGCTTTTATGGTGTCTTTCCTTTAGTTCTGCCTCTGCATGTCTAGTTGGTCCTGAGTCTCCATGCTTGCCTCCTTTCTGCTCTTTGCTCTCAGCCTCATGAGGATTGTGAAAGAGGACCTGGTGGTCACTGTGTGCTTCTGACAGCACAGAACTTATAACTGGCATGTTGGCTACAGACTCTTTCTCTGCTTCACCAAAAGTATCATCAGAGTCCAGAGTCTGATCTTCACCGTGGTCACTTTCCTCATGAGTAGGAGTCAATATAAAGGTATCAGCCTCCTCCTTCAGTTCGAGCTGACTGGTGCAGAGTTCCTCCTGTTCCTCTTTAATCTGTGGAGGCTCTGGGTCCTCTTGGTCCAGACTGGGGATCCTCTCCTGAATACAGAGCTGCTGGTCTGTGAGAGCCTCCTCCTCCTCCTTACACACATGTTGCTGTGGGAGCTCTGGAGAGACAAAGAACACGAGGGATAAGATACTACTGTGATTGTAGAGATGCGAGCAAATTAATGTCACTATAAATGAAAATGGATTATTTATAAATAGAAGACCTCCGTTTGTTGTCATTAAAATTAGTAGGTTTTACATACCTATCCTGTGTAACTTTATTTCTGGTTTCCAAACGACGTCCAACAGTCTGCGCTGACGGTTGATCTCTTCCTCGTACTCGACGATAGTTTTTGTAAAAACTCCGAATATTTCTTCAGCAGCAGCAGTTAGTCTCTCTTTGACAAACTCTCTCAAATACTCAACTGAAGACATTGTTGTTTAATTAGTAATTAACTAATTAATTTCACCTTCCAGCTTGTTTTGACTACTTCCGCTGGATGTCACACTGTGAAGATCCGGTATCGGAAGTGAGTATCTGCTCCGTTAGTTCCGCTGTGGTTCCGCCTTTCGGTTGTACACCTACAGTGACAATGAGACAAGGGAAATAAAAGAAACAATATTTTTCCTATCCAGTCCTACCGAAAGCCGAAGAAGTGCCATTTAAAATTTTGAATGACATCTATCCAATCACTTCTTACATGAATGATTTTATTTTTCCTCCAGCTTGAGCCTGCACAGGAATTTTGGCTTGTGTTTCAGAGTTGGCTTCAATCTAAAGATTGATTGATACACACTTTAAATGTGATGTCGATTAAAGCTGGAGTAATTACTCAAGAGAAAAAATTGGAGGATCTTAATAACAATTTGATTCTGCTGGGCAAACACTTTATTCATAGATGTAAATATCTAGCCTATAAATTAATGGAAGAGTGAACTCAAGATATTTGCAAAATGTCTTTTCTACATGACGATCAGAAACACCTGGAAACTATTTTGTTATTGGACCTGTTTCTATTAAGAACTCTGTCTTTGAAGAGTATGTTTTGATTTGTATATTTATGTATATTGTAAACCACTGAATCGACACAGTTGATCATCAGCTTAAGTCCTGAAACATGCCTTTAAGTTTGTACTTGAATGGTGTTCAATTACAAAAATCAAACAAACAAACAAAAACAAATTGTTGGTTGTACATCATTCTCTCGTTCGCTCCTTTAACTGTCTTTGTCTGTAGACTGAGGCAGCCTGTGGATACATTTCATTTCACGTTTAATTTAAGCTTAATTCCTATAAGAAGAGGCATGTTTGGCTTCACCTGTAGTTTTCCGAGAAACTCCTCTTTTTTTTTCTTTTTTTTTTTCAATGAATAATTATTATAATCATCATTTTAAACTGTCAACATACATAGTATCAAAAGAAAACAACAGAATGACATACATACAGATAAAGCATCATGGACAAAAACAAATAAAATAGCAGCACCAAACAGAAAAAAGACAACAGAAACTGAACAGATCTAACTTTAAATATTTAAGTAGAAATAAAGACTCGAGTTTATGACAGTAGGTTTACTTAAAAAGTTTAAAGATATTGCATACATTCATTGTTGTGATTACAATTAAGCCAACATGCAACTATGACTAGGACAAAACTGAATCAAAAGTATCAGTTTATTTTTAACTATTGTTTCCATTGGTAAATAACAAATTTAGAAATGGCTCCTACAATCATCTTGTTGACATGCATAGGTGCTGGAGCAAACAGGAATGATGCTCTGCCATGTTTTTTCTCCAAGTGAGGAAATAGAATATTGCAGTTCAGATAATATGGATGAAATTCACATAGGCCTACAATTATTATTATTGTTTTTTTTTTTTTTTTTTTGCATGAAGATCCAACCATCACTATTGTCATCCAAGAATGACAACAGATCCAAACCGGGAATCCACAAACCACTGGGTGACATCACGGTAGGTACATCCATTATTTTTTACAGACTATGGCACGCATTATTATTTATTGCCTCGAATTACAATTTCAGTATGTAATTAAATTATTATTCTTAACATCAATAGAAAAATAAATACTGTTGTAGAAGGTATAGTAAAAATCAACACCTTAATACCAAAAAATACGGTATACCGCTCAGTAAACCGCAAATGACATCCTCCATCCCCCCCCCCCCCCCCCCCCCCCCCCCCCCCCCCCCCCCCCCCCCCCCCCCCCCCCAATCATCATGACCTTCACTGAGTGGTAATCTGAGTTGAGATAGTTAATGTTGAGAGCGTTTTTAGCAAATTCCTAGCTTCGCTCTTTCTTTTCTGTGAGCCTTTCATTTGGATTTATTGATGTTAGCCAAAGTAGTCAGGTTAAACTACTTTCAAAATAGACTGAAAAAGTAGTTACCAAAAACATGTTTGTGCAGGGCAGTTTTACTGCAGTCATGTGTGGGCAGCTCTACAATATCACTGAAAACATTTTTTTTTTCTTAAAAACACATGTAATTAAAATATACAGTTTCAAAACATAGCAGAAATATTTGTGTCTGTCAACTTTGGTAAAACATTATTTACATTAATGAATTCTCCCAGTTTTATATTTGAGGATAAAATAAGCTATTTATATCTGTCGGCTGTTTTAGGAGAGATTCAGTTTGACACTTTGTCCAGTGTACAAGCCTCTTCACATAGTAACACTGCAGGAATGCATGAAGGTTTGATCTGACTGATATTTGTATGTTACAATTATCAGATTTGATCCATGATGCAAATGGCATGGATAATCTGTGCATTAGGAAGTGCAATTTTACCCCAAAACATATTTAATGTTTTGTTAAAATTACAAGTGGATAAAAACAGGATTGTGCTCTAAAAAATTACTCTGATGTCAATCCTTATCAGAGATAAATCTGCACTTGTTTTACAGCGTCAGATAAGAGTCATGAGTAGGTTTACCTACTCCTTAATTTCATTGAGCAAGTATGTGCCAGCAGCTATTACTCCATTCACATTGGTTATCAGACCAGTAACTACCACATCCTTGTGTAGTTTCACATCCCATCCACACAGGGGCAGTATAGTACCACATGTGAGCAAAGAATGAAATCCAGTTTAGGAGAGGTCACTGGAGTAATTCTGGCCTCCATGCAGCCACGTCCACTCCCTCAACACCTAGGACAAAAACAAAGGGTATGGCGTTATATTTGTGCCACAATCCTGAGTGAGTGGTTTGAGATTTCGAGCACAGAACAATATGCTTTGCACGCACATAAACTGCATTTTGAAGAGAAATTATATGCACGCAAATCTTTTTTTTTCTTCTTTTTTTTTGAGCAAACAAATATTTATTCTGTGCTCAATAAATTTATTTGCATGTTTACCATTATCTATATTAGCGTGCAGCAATAACCCCCCTATTCCTATCTGAATAAGATGACATTTCCGAATGACGTGCGAGCTAGGAACGCCACAGAAGGAACAGCCAATGTCTTATGGAAATATGTAAAACAATTTACAACTAACACGGTAACAGTGCTAAGAAAAATAATAATTATGCTGATAATGATAATGTTTTTTTTAACGCAGCTGTAGTCAAATACTCCTCTTGTGTCAGTTAAATGCCATAGACTGTTCAAGTGGCTCTAGATGTGGAAGTGTTGTAATTGGACACCAAACAGTCAATCAGAACTGTTCTCCGATCCAACTGGTTGGTTTTATGGCACAAATATAACGCTGTCCAAATCTCAAACCACTCGCACAAATATAACGCCATTAAAGGATGGTGTTTTTTAATAGTCATCTCATATAAAACAAATAACATGATCATAAACTACACCAGGCAGCTGCTTGTAATCACAACAAGATGAGTGTAAGAGCTGAAGAAGGGAGTGTGAGCATGTTGTGTACCTCCATACTGCTCTCTGATTCCTGGATGGTGTCATGCAGCAGACTCTGGAGTCGACTCTCAAACGTCCTGCTCTCTTCCACAAGAGACTCATCACTGTAGACACACCCAAAGTGATTCATGCTGAAGTTACTCATAATTCTGATGATAGCTTATCTGCGTGTATGTACAAGAAATGTGTTTGTGCCTTTCTGAAAGGTTCTGGTGATGATGGAAAGCGGTGTGGAGTGTGGGAAAGCAAAATGATAGTGGGGAGTTTATATAAGATCATCAGTATACTGTTGGCCACAAAGAAAACTTACACAACTTTCAAACAGCAAAAAAAAAAAAAAAAAAAAAAAAAAAGAATTAAAGTTATGTCTTTGTGAACAGCTTTGCCGATACTTGTGTGGGTGAGTGAAGAGTCAAATTTGTTTTGCGCGTGAGACCAGCGAGAGCACGTGAACACACATGAATGCGGTGTCCATGTCTCACGGTCTTGCGCAAGCGCACACACGTGAGCGCGGTGCACAGAGAGGCAGTTTGAGCTACAGGCTACAATGAGGCTAAAAACAGAGTTCAAACAACTTTTTATGTTGGGGCTTCAGGACACTTGGATCACTACGGATGAGCAGTATGGAGATATATTGTGGTTTCAATTATGTGTTTTTGGATGTTTGAATCTCCATTAGGTGGAGTTGTGTTGCTACCCACTCTCCCCTTGGATCTTTGCAAGTGATGTCAGGACTCTAAAACTTCACCTGAGCCTCCATCGGCATATGGGTGAGTAGATAATGGCTGAATTTTCATTTTTGGGTGCACAATCCCTTTAAGTCCAGCAGTGAAGTTGTTGCACTTGTTATAGCTGCTCTGATATCAGTGCAGACTGACAGGGTAGGAGCACAGATTGTTTACATTAGCCCAAAGAGCACCCCTAGTGCCCTGGTAATTAAGAAGTGTATTTTCTTAATTTGAGGACTTGTTTGAGCAACTGATAGTGCGAAACTGAAGTTGTGGACAAATCACAAATGTTCTCAAAACAAAGTGATGTCCTTAGTCCACACAGAAGAAGATGGCATATTAATAATGTCCGGCAACACTCGTCGTGCCTGTTTACATGAAGGCCAGCATCAACAGCTACCAATGATGTATCAGGATCTTTAAATGTTGTCCCATTTTATAGGGGAAGATTTCAAACACCACCCCTTGTAACTCTGCTTTGAGAGGCAAATCGAAAACAAGGGGTAGGGGTAAAAATAAGAAATCAATTTGGCCTTTATCCCTGAATGGATAACTTCCTTGAAACCTCAGTGTGAGGTAGTGTGGTGGTGGTGGTGTGTGTGTGTGTGTGTGTGTGTGTGTGTGTGTGTCCTGTAAGTACACTCACAACTGCTGTAAGCTGTGTCTGGGGGTCAGCAGAGGCGGCACTGAAGATGGGGTTCGTAATCCGTCAGGACTCCCACTCACGGGGCTGCGAACCTTACTCTGCACAAGACAAGATGATGCTTGATGAGTGTTGGAGCAGATATAAACACACTGAAAATGGTGCTTGAGAATTAAGTGAAACATTTATTATTATTATTATTTGTGGCTACTCATTTCATGATGTAAAATTACATGCAATTAACAGGCATCGCTAAAAGAAGGGAAGGACTGTGGTTGTGTGTGTGTGTCTGTGAACAGTTCATGTATCCTCACACAGGCGACTTTGAGCAGGGTCCACAGATCCCTCTGTCGTTTCTCTTGCAGACTCATCAGGACTTGTTCGCTCTCAGCCATCTTCTGGACCACACCCTCCACCTTCGGCAGCAGCTCCATCACACGCTGACGGCACACTGCTGTCTTACTGCACAACAAACACACACACACAAACAGTGGGCATCTATGTTTTGGATGTATTTGTAAAGCATCAAGTCCCTGGACCATTTATTAATGAGTTTACACGTTAGAAGCCGCAGACTGGTGGCTTAATTTAAAAGGAAATTTTTCATTAATAAGAGGTTGTGACTTTTTACACTCCTTTACTGGCCTGTCCCAAATTAAGTGTTGCAAATTTGTCACCTTAAACTTAGCCATCACATTACACTTACATTACAGAAGTATTTCTGGCAACACCTTGCTTCATTTTTATACAGATACACAAATTCTCAAATATGAGTTACACAGTGCAAAGACAGAGCTGCTCGGGACTCACTGACCCAATCCAAGCATCCCCTCATGAAGTTAATTTCTGTCTACTGATAAGTTCTTGAGTGAAGGAGCTTGAAATTGTATAAACAGGAAAGGGACAGCACTTTGCAACATATACCTTCACCTTGAGGATGCATACAGTTGGGAGTTTGGGACGTTTTATTCTGCTTTTTTTTTTTTACTTTTTCTTCCTGTTTGTAAACAAAATAGCGATGTTGTTGGATCAGGTCTGATGAAAGCATATTTGGAAATCATTATTATGCTATCATAGGACAAACTACTACACACAGGTTTGGCTATGAATCACCAGTGTCACAACACAACACAATAAACTGTGGGTTATTCCCTTAGGCAAAGTCTGCAGAAGTCTCTAAGTCTCTAAGTGAGTCCTCATGCACTTGACAGTTTGACACTGGGACAGCCCTAAACCCTGATGGATGCTGTGGGAACCTGCCGTGAGTCCTTGAGAAAAATCCCCTAAGTCCAGCTTTTCTGATAATGTGAATGCACCTTAAAGGAACAATGTGTAAAATTTAGGGGGATTTAATGGCATCTAGCGGTGAGGATTGCAGATTGTGACCAGCTGAAATTTCTCCCGGTTCTTTGCCAGCTGGCTCACACTGGCACATTTACAGAAATGCTGATTAATGTACACTGTCCTTATAAATAAATAAATAAATGACCCAGTGTTTTAAACTGGTAAAAACACTGAAAAAAAGCAGTTTCATGTTAAAAAGAAATCTGTGTTTCTCCTGATGCACTTGTCACGCAACGACTGCTAACTGTGGTGCCTGACACAAAAACATGACAGGCCATATCCAGAGCCAGTGTTTGATTTGTCCGTTCTGGGCTACTGTAGAAGCAGGGTGGTGCAACATGGTGGACGAGGACCCTCTCACTATGTAGATATAAACAGCTCATTCTAAGGTAACAAAAAACACAATGACTTTTATTTTCAGGTGATTATACACTAAAGAAAACATACCTATTTTATTATATTCCATTTCTGCAAATATATCCCCTTAAATCCTACACACAGGGCCTTTAACACAGACTTCCAGTTCAGCAGTAATTAAACCTCACAGGAAAGTTTTTAAAGTGTCCCATGTGTAGTTTTGAATTGTTTGTACAATGCATTTGGGACTGGGTCTTTCAGTTCCCCAACCCACCCCAAACACAATAACATACTGTATTGGTTATTTCTCAAAAGGTGTGCTTTGTTTTGGAAGAATGTGAAACGAATCCTGTTATTATGTGATTATGTGATCTGGGAAATATTTTGAGTTCACTAAAGTACAGTGTTTTGTGTTTGAGTACCTGAGATGTGTGTAGAAGTCTCTGAGCTTCTTCTCGTAGAACTGCACAGCCTGTAACACCAGGCGCACCACCTCCTGACTGTCCCCTGAGCACCTCTGGTCTGAGCGGGGGAAGGAAAAGGAAAGCCCGGTTTATTTTCACATGGAGACACTTTAACGAGTGTTATGTAAGAAGTGAAGAGATGCGTGCCATCCAAACCTCTGGGTTTCTCTCTGAGTTTGCGGAACAGCTCCATTGCCTTTCCTTCACTGGGGAACAAAGAGGGGAAGAGAGCAGGGTTCAAGATACCAGACCAGTTGTTTTTGCTGTTTTTACAGTTAAGTTTGGTTCAGACTTACAGTGTATCCAGGGCCTCCCCACTCCGCCATGGCTGTCTCTGCACATCTACTATGTCTGGCTGCAGCTGCATCATCTCCTCCTCCAGTTCACTCACCTTTGCCTAGACACCCCCATGTGGATTTTAGTCTTTTTAAAGCACATGTGAATACTCCTTACACACACACACACACACACACTCAACTCTACCTGACCACAGCTGACAGCAGTCTGCTCCATCTCTCTCCACACGCCAAGGAGTTTCTCTGACGCTAGAAAGTGTTAAGAGACTATCATTAGTCATTTAGAGGCAAACTGAATTGTTCTATACATATTAGTGCACCTTCCACCAAATTAAGCTATAAATAATTACCATTAATGGACAGAATAAACAAAGTTCAGAGAACTTTAATTCCATTTGCAGTATTATATTTGGCGGTATGGCTCTGTTCTGGGGCCACTCTGCCTCTCCTCAGGCCTACACAGAAAGTCTCTTCCACGTGCCTATGTGGAAAGCCTAAGGCAGCAGCAGCAAAGAACCCCCGGCATCAATGACAAACAGAAATGACATTGATAAGTCAGATACAGTAGCAGCAACATTAGGCAGGCCAAAGCAGTTTAAATAGGGCGTCCTGAATAAGATTCGCCAATTGCTTGCATGAAAAGGAATCATGTGACCTATCAGCTGACTCCCTTTCATCAATCAGCTGACTCATCAGCTTAATGGGCTGTTTGAGATCAGCTGATGTAGCTAGGATGTGAGTTGAGCTTGACATCATGTCCTGCCTGAACTAGCGCTATGCTCAATCTTTAGCAGCTGTAGTGTGAACTTCCTTCTATCTACCACAGCGTTGTTGTTTTTTTAACATCGTACCGATCCCGGTGGCTGTCTGCTCCTGGTATTTGTACATGTCTACGTGAAGGCTGGTGGTAAAGAAGTCCAACTTGGCCATGAGCCTCTGGTGCATGGACACCATTTCAATCTTCTGTTTGGACAGCGAAGAGTTGTGTCTCAGCAGGCTCATGCTGAAAGAAAGGGGATTTTGTTTTTTAACACACTTGATGCATAGGTGTGTTCTGAGGAACTTTGTGTGTGTATTTGTGTAAGTCATACATGGCAGCTTTCTGCCCCTGCTGCAGACGTTGCCAGTCTTCCTTCAGGGAGCGGATTGTATGCCACGCCTGGCCACAAGTCCTCCTCAGAAGGCTGTAAGGCAGAAGGTGTTTAGGGTCGGTTTCTAGGACAAAGACAAAGAATGAATGAGAGAGAGAAAGAGAGAGAGAGAGAGAGAGAGAGAGAGAGAGAGAGAGAGTCACACAAAAGCAAAGGATGATTTTTACTATTTTATTCATTATAGTTTGTAGTCATGAAAAGAGCTTTTCCCCCCACAGGGTTTTCATTTCAGGCATAAAGTTTGTGGTTCATATGAGCCCAAAAATATTCTAGTCAAACCTGTAAGTGATTTTATCCACAAATTCTGGAGATGTATAATGTTTGTTTTCTGTTTATACTAAAAGTGTGTGTGGTTTTATTGTGGTACGGTGTGTGCTGATTATTGTTTTGAACAAAATGTGTCCATCTCTGTTTGCTACAGATTTTAGTGTCTTTATTTAACAGACTTTCACTGAAGCTCTGCTGTGGGAACCGTCAGAGAAGCATACATCCCACCTGAGCCACAAAATGAGCAACTGCTTGAGTCCTTCATTGACCAAAAATATCTTTAAATATTGTTTTAACACCACTAAGGCACCACTTTGCCTTAATGGTGTTTATCCACATTCAGTGTAAGATGTCCTCCTCCACAGCAGTACAGTACATGCTCAACTTCCATGGCGGTACCTCTGCCTGCTTCTCCAAACTGGGGGCATGCCCACTGTTGTCGACTGTATGTAACACACCTATGGATATGTACCTCATACATCCCCACTTCAGAAGATTCAAACTAATCACTTAAACACAGAAAAGCATTGCAGGGTACTTCAGGTGAAGAAGATTTGAATACTGTTTTCTTATTGCTGTGTACTCACGGACAAAGCGGATGTTTTCTGGAAGGGTGCGAGGAGCAAACTGAGGTTCATAGGTGCAAGAGGAACGATCAAACAGGAAGACCAGAGGCAAGTCTGTCCGTCGCCCATCTATCTCCTAAAGACGTAGACAACAATAATACTTTGCCTCAGCCCATTATCACATTGTGTGGTTGATTATTCTGGTAAGGTATTGTGTGTACAGTGTTGATGTTTGACATTACTGTGTAATCTATGGCGCACTGCGTGGCCAGTCCGTGAGGCTCCAAGGCTAAACCCGCTTCCAGCAGCAGCTCCTGATTGGCTGCAGGGATGTTGGTGTCTTTTTCTATCCTCAGCTGCAGGTCAGCCACAGTCTCTTCGTCTGAGACGGAGTATGTCAGGATCTTAGCAGAAAGCATGTTCAGGACATGAACCAGCTGAGGGAAAAGAGAGGGACCAAGCATATTGCAGAAAGAACAAGTAAATATGTTGGTCTAAATAAAAATAGGTGCATAACTCCAAATCACAACTCTGATCCTCAAAGTTGAAACAGTGGTGTAGCACTTCAGGCCTTAGAAAGTTTGAAATTTGGTCTTTAATTATAGTGTGAACCACAGATTCAAAGATATATCCTCAACATCAGACCAATGATGTCTGAGTCAGTGGTTCCCAACTGGTCCAGCCACGGGGTCCAGATTTCTCCTTTTGCCATTAGTTCAGGGTCCACACAGTTTAATATATTCAACCTTATACCCACATTTGGCCATATCGTCAAGCTGTCTCTGTCAATTAGCTGTTGACTATCCACTCACTCTACAGCAGGAAACGGCATTTCAACACAACAGCTCTGTGTTGGAAATTCACTGTACTTCAAAATAAAGTGTGTTTTTTACAAACTTTACATGTTCACAAGTCACTTGCAGTCCATTCAGAATGGAACTGCGAAACTGTACTAAAAACTGTACAGTACTTGAGCACATGTATTTTGGGAAAATGAAAAAATGTGAAAGAATAAATGTATCAACGACTTAATTGACCTTGAGCTGCAGAATGACCTCCAGCTGGGAGAAGCAGTCCGAGGGCGTAGCGTCGGGGTCTTTGCCTCTTTCCTTAGGAGACCACTTTAACATCAGCTGCAGCCACCTCTCCATTTTCTCCAACAAGAGACTGTCAAACACCAGTCAACAACTTAGGTTAACAAAACATACTTTTACAGAAAGACTTTTTAGGGTAAATCTATTGTGTGTCTCGTTGCAAATTTTATTATTTACTTATTTTTATTATACACTGATTTATCTGGTCTCAGGCTTTGTTCAATAGTTTTATTGCTGTCTCATAAAGAACTTTGTAACTGTGCTTGAAAAGTGAGATACAAATAAAGTTTGCTACATTACTATAATTATAGCATGTTAGATATGAGATAATAACAGTCTTAATGTATGTGTGTGTCTGAGACTGATAAAGTCACCTGTTGAGGTTGTTGGGCTGGGGCAGATGTTTAGAGAAGCGGACTTCCCCTGAGAGGTCCTCATAGACGACGATATCATCGTCCTGCTTCAGCCTCAGTTTGTTGTGCCTTAGAAGGATACAGATGGGTTATATGAGAGGAGGAGAGCCCTAAAAATATGAGCTTGTACTTGCAAATCTGTGTAAAAATGTGTTTTTTTTTTTTTTTTTCATTTTATCCTCAATTTGATCATGGTAAATTCCATGGCCAGCTACGTGCCAGAAATATAACTGTTAATAATGGGAGACTATTTTTCCTCGAAATAAGCGGACCCTCCTGGAGTTTCATACCTTTCAATCATAATTAGTGAGCCACGAGGGCCATTGACGTTGGCACAAGCCATATATCCTGTAATTCTTTGCTTTGGCAACTCCTGTTTATTTATATACTCCCTGGGAGTTACAGTCCAGTCACGTAACAATTATGTTTCTTTTCATTGCTTAACATTCAAAAACGTCATTGTTAAGCTTGTTTTGGAATAGCTAGACCAAAAAATATGATTTAAGAAATGTCGGAAATGTTGACATGCATCATCCTCAAAAATAAAATGTGGAAATTATGACTTAATTTCCTTAATGATGACTTTTGTGGCATTTTGAACAAATTACTAACTTGGTGCAGATATAGGAAGTTTTGAAAGGTGGTACTACCAAGGGACGGGTTGCCAGGTTGGCAAGAAAGGGCGAAATCCTGTGATACACTCAAACACCAAAGTCCCGAAGCTCCAGTAGTCCACAGTGACCGTGTACTTCTGTCTCTCAATGAGCTCTGGAGCCTAGAGGAGAAAAACAAGTTGAGCTGTTACCGCCCAGAGCACAGTGAGAAGATCATGTGGGAAATATGTCCACCTGTGTTTTCATCACTTACCAAGTACTGAAGTGTTCCCACAAACGAGGTGCAAAGGCTGCTCTGGTCCAGCTCTTTAGCATAGCCGAGATCTATTATCTTATGGATCAACTAAGGTTAGAGGAGAGAGCAAAGACAGGAAGTGTTAACTGCAAATTTTCATCCTACAATCAAAAACTGACAACTTAAAGGAACTGTGTGTAAAATCTAGGGAGATTTAAGCCTCTTATCTAACCACTATTTAAACCATGGAGAGTTTTATCAGTAACCTGTAACTATAAAATGAAAGTATGTTTTTCTGCCTCTTGCAGCAGCTGGAGTCTGGGTCGACTGCCGGCAACTTTTAAGGTGGAACGTTAACTTGTAATGTTATTCAATGCATGAAGTGACGACGTGAATCAAATTACACCTTAAATTTCACTGTGACAACTTTGACCATTACTTCAGTTTTAAGACAGACACTTTTAGTAAATAGAAAAGCACTCGGAGAGTGCAGACCTCCGCCAAGCAGCTCGCCATTTTATTATTTTATCCACTTTGCTTCAACCGATCACCACCAAAATTTCATCGGCTCCTTGTCCCATTATCAACCTTTCCTGAAAATTTCATCAAAATCTGTTCAGAAACTTTTTGAGTTATTTTGCAGACAAAAAATCAAACCAAAGGCACGCACATCTCACCGTGGGAGGGTAGGTGCTGAGTCGATAGTCGTGGATGAAAAATGGGTCTGATGAAGAGCACACAGCTCGAAACGTACATCACGGTGCAATAAATAATATTTTTTTCTGCAAAGAGTCCTGCAGTGTTGCGGGTCATTCACCCTTTTTTTTATTTTGCAGACAAACAAACAGACAAATGCCAGCGAAAACATAACCTCCTTGGTGGAGGTAATGAGTGGATCTTCATGCGTTTATATATATTAATTTCAACTGAGTTATGTGAACTACATATATTCTAATCCTCACTTGAAGAAAAAAAAAAAGTATCCATTCTGTGGACGATGAATCAGGTGCAGACTTCCATCTGTGCCACCGGTAACAAGGACATACGGTCAGTGCTGGATGGAGCAGTGAGTGACAACAACCCCGCCCATATTTAACTGTTTACTGTTTGCAGTCGAAACACTAGGGTCTAGGTACCATGTCTTTAGGGTTACTTTTGGTTCCAAAGGTAGTGGAAGTGGCGCCTTCATCTCTTCACGCCAGGATTACTACAACAGCCTCTTTTCTTTCTTGTATCAATAATCGACTCCAGACTGTGCAGAATTCAGCTGCAGGGCTTTTAACCAGAACCAAGAGACACGATCACATCACTCCAGTTTAAGCATCTTTACACTGGAATTAAGAATAGATTTTAAGATTTTACTGGTTACTTTTAAGGCTCTTCATGGTCTCCCTCTCAGCTATTTCTCTGTCCTCTTAGTGCCATACACACCAGGGTGTACTTTTAGGTCCTCAGGCAGAGGTCTTTTGTCTGTTCCAAAGGCTCGGCTGAAATCTAAAGGGGACAGAGAGTTTGCTATCAGACCCCCGAGGCTCTGGAACAATCTGCCCGAGGAAATTAGGTTGGCTGAGTCAATAATCTCTTTTAGTCCCTTCATAAAACCTAACTTTATTGTGGAGCCTTTCCTGATTTTACTTGAGTTTTAAGTTCCTTTACACTGCCTTTTATTTCTTCAGTTTTTATACACTAAAGTGTTTTTATCAGTTATTTTATAAGTTGTTGTTTTCATGTCTTGTCTGTTTTAATTATTGACATGTAAACACTTTGTAACTCTGTTCTGAAAAGTTATTTATAAATAAAGATTATTATTATCATTATTATTATTATTATTATTACTATTATTATTATATAACTACTTGACATGAAATACTGTTCATGAGTTTTCTACCAGGAGCCAAATTATCCACGGAGGCTTCTTCCTCTCCAAAACAGACGGACCAGGTAATTAAAACTGGGGAGAAAAAACTAAATAAAGCAGTTTCACATTAAAAATCAGGGTTTCAGAAAGTGTCTTGTAAATCCTGAGGGACGCAAGAACACATGAGCAGAAATCAACTTTTAATGCTTTTCTGTCTATTTTTGTACAGCCCCTCTTATTTTAAAAACCTCCCTCCAAACCAAAAACTAAGTCTGTATGATGGATTTACTGTTCCTCTCGTATGCCAGACAAAAACAACTGTTCATGTAAAAACTATAAACTCGTGCAGATAAATTCTACAGTGTACAAAAACATGAATATATAGTCTCTTTAATATGTCTGGCCTCAATTATATAACATTCTTCATTTTCCTGTGTCCTGCTGCAGGCTGGAGGATATTGTGTAATTTGTTACCAAGAAGAAAATTAAGCGAGCAAGGTAAGAGCAAGTCAATCCCAAACATTCCTCATAACTGTGAGGATCTTTTCAAGGATTTTCACATTATAATATTCAGTGTTGTGCTCAACTGGTGTGTGGAAACATGTGGACGTGCGAGAGAGACGAGTCTCCTACACTTATTCCACATAACCCACATAGAGACAAAAAGCCTTTATATGGTCTCTTTGTTGTGGTTTGTGTGTACTTGTCATAACAAGATGGTTCACAGGGTTTTTAACTCACTCTCTTCTCTCCCTGTTGCAGCACAATGTTTTCTGGTTTCAAATCTCTGTGAATGATCCTCTTCTTGTGGAGGTAGGTGAGAGCCGACGCTAGAGGGAAGAAGAAGAAGTAGAAGAAATAAGTCAGAAGAAAGGAAGAATGCGCTTTCAAGTATCCACTTCCTCACTTGTTGCCTTTCGGTTTCTTGTAACAGTGACACAAGGAAATGGACGCGGTGGTGTAAAGAGGGTCGCATGTGTGCATCACCACCAGCACCTGAGTGGAGTGTTTTCTCCATAACTGCATCAAGCTTTGGTCAGGTTCGGGCGTAAAAAACAGAGTACCTGTCGGGTTTGGGTCAGACTCAGGTGCTACTGTCTTGCTTTGGGTTCAAACAAATATATGTGGCATGAACCGCACTCCGCTACAGAGGTCTGGTAACCTCACTCCGGTTTTTTTTTTTTGCACAATATCTTTATTAGGTTTTTTTCAAAGTAATGCAAGACATACAAGAAAAATAAGGACAAAGGTTTTTTGTTTGTTTTTTTTAAAAAAAGGCAAATAAAAAGAGTGAGTAAAACGAGAGCAAAAACTGAACAGGGCGTACACTTCAAGCAATGACATACATTGTTGCATCACTAGTACTCAAGTTCAAACACAAATTCTCAAGGAAGAGGTGAGTGGCCTATTATAGTTCTTATCAATAATCAGGGTCCCCATTAAACTTTGCAAGATGGTCTAAAAATGGCTGCCAAGTCTGGTAGAACTTCTTAAGATTGTTCATCATGCTGTATTGAATTTTCTCCATGTGCAGTACAGAGGTAAGTTCTGTCAGCCATGTCTTGAAAACGGGTACAATTTCTGACTTCCAGTGCATCAAAATCAGTCTCTTTGCTTTTATCATTCCATACATAATAGTGTTCTGGTCAGGGAGGGTATGAGTCATTAAAGACAGAGAATAGCCAAACAGTGCCACCTCTGGCTCTGGCTTGAACACATAATTATACATTTCAGAAAACCATTTGAACACTTTACTCCAGAAATCATGCAACTTTGGACACGTCCAGAAAAGATGGGCTAGGGAGCCATCAGCAGACTTACAGCGATCNAGAAAACCATTTGAACACTTTACTCCAGAAATCATGCAACTTTGGACACGTCCAGAAAAGATGGGCTAGGGAGCCATCAGCAGACTTACAGCGATCCTCACTCCATTTTTCACTGCCAGATTTTTTTATATTTACCTGTTCGTCCCCAATCAACGGATTTTACCTGGGGCAGTTCATCAGAATTTGCTCAGCTCCCTTACTGGAGTCACGTAACAACTTTTATTTTATTTTTTACAAACATTAGTTCTTCCCACAACCTGTTGACAGACTTTGACACTAGGCTGAAAAACAGTGTTTCATTGTTTCAGGTGTTTTTTACACATGACCGCACCTAGCATCACTGATGCATGTGATCAGAAATGTGCTCTGTTTCCCCCTAACAGTGATGTCATGGTGTACTGACACACCCTATAGTACACTTTTACCTCACTGCAGCGGGGTCAGAAATTAGACCACTAGAGGTCAGCAAACACAACATTTTCAGCCTGTGTAAAGTTGTTTTTTAAAAAGTAAACTAACAACGAAATCTATTTATTTCTTTTTTTTTACTGACCTCTGGCATGTATCTTCTCACCTTGCTGCAGTGGTGTTCATGCTTAGTCGCAGAAAAGAAAAACAAAACAAAACAAAACAAAACTGAAACTCTATTAGCAGCTGCACCTTGTCAAATAAATCAAAACCTATGTGACTGGACCATGTGAGAATTTAATTTGAAAGGACAGACACAGGAAGTGGCCACGTTCAGCAGTCAGTCAAAAGTCAGGTTAATTTCCAGGCTTATTCCACAGGCTAGTTAATAACATGTCCAAAGTGTGGGATCATTTTGAGAAGGTGAAGGACGAACCCAAGGTGATATGTAAACTCATCTTCACTGGTCGACTACAAACATGACGTATCATCTGAAACATGGAAGTAGCTACATGCCCATTAGCCCACAGTGTCATTAACAGGCAGCTCGCTCAGTGTGTGACGTGCACTTGTAGATAAAATATAGGCCTATATTAATGAAGGTTTATTAGTACAGTTTTGTATTTCTCTGTAATGTAGCACAGTGTTAACAATGTTACTGATACTATTCTTTCTCAGACCCTAAACTCAAGTGTTGCCCCACCCAAAATATATTATTTAATAATCAAATTAATATAGTAAACATGTGGGCGACTAGTCGTCTAATGGCCCTAATTGATGACTATTGGTCAACTAGAAAAAATTCTTGTGCGGGCAGCCCTACTGTTGGCTATGCAGGTTGGGTAACGGTCAGAGGTGAAACAGGACTGACAGTTTCAACCAGAGAGGGCAGTAAAACACTGCATTTCAGCCTGGTGTTAAGTCACTCTTTAATAAGGTAAGTAAGAGGATAAGACTCATGTATATACACATTCTGTAGCCTTTAATCTGCTGGAACTGAAGTTAAAGTGTAATTCGGGTTTTGTCTTAATTTACAACTGAAACTATAATGTCACTTCACTTACACATCAAAGGGTGACTAGTGTGTGTGCTGGCAGTCTTCAATGAAGCAGAACTCATAACCTTTAGGCACCTGACTGTGTGAGTGTGTGTGTGTGCATGCGTGTCTTTGGGTGTGGATGTGCACGCCTACGTCTTTACCCTCACTCATGATGCAGTTTAAAGGGGATCACTCATTATCAGGAAATGTCCACCAATGGGTAACAGGAAAGGGAGTTTCTTTGAAAGTGTGTGTGTGTGTTACTCTCCTCTACTCTCCACTCTAGATGTGTCTGATCCATACCATATGTGTCCTCTCTCAAACCTGTTTATACAGCGTGTAATCTACAACGTCTTGTTGATGTCCGACTGTTGACGTAAACCCCAGTCTGAGTGTGAGCTGTTGCCACGGTGACTAAGAGGTTGGTGGTTAGGGGTCATTGATGACATCATGATGCCAGTCACCACGGCCATTTCCTCCATACTGCAGGAAACTAATCACGCTGCCAGCTCACTCAATCACACAATCAATCTATCACTCTCACAAACACATGTGGTTTAATGGTCATGTTTAAGCCGGGGACTGAACGTAATACTCACAAATGTCACGTAACAGAATTAAAACGGAGCCCTCCCTCAACCCGCAGCAGTTCTCCAAGAGGTTCAGATACTGCAGAGAGCAAAAAGACAAGACAGTGAATACAATAAATAACATTAATCTATTTTCCATCCATTAAGCACATGGTGTTTATAACGGATCACACACACATTAGAGGCCATGACAGGCTCTGATTCAAGCAGAAACCAAACCCAAGTATCAACTTTCTCTCACACATTAATAGAATGTTTTCCACAGGGCATTTTTGCGCTGTTGATTTGATTTTTTAGGAGCATTTCTGGTAGCCGTTTTAAAACAAAAAGAAGCTTCGCAAATTGGCAAATCAGCACTTTGGCTGTAAATCTTTTGATTTGTTTTACTTCAAACAATAAATTTAAAGCGTTCTGCTGCTGGAAAGTTGTGGCAAGCCTCAACTTTCAGACCACTGCCTAGTTTTCGGCTATCTGGGATGCTTTGAAATTTTTATGACACTGTGGTTGCTGATGGTTGGCATTTTCCTTCTCTACTGGCTGCCTCGTGCCAACTTTGTCTATCGCCTCAAGCTGCACACTCAGTGCCTAATTAAAAACTGCTCTAGATTTCCCCCACAGAAGAAGTGCAAACAATTGCCTGGTTGTTGGCACAAACAAATCAGACATCCTCATTCATGTGTGAGTGTCTTAAAATCAGTAAAATATGAAAACTATAATGGATATGCCTTTATTCTTTATTTGAGAAAAACCTTTTTTGAAGGACCTCATAAAAAAAAAATCATCATCACACATTATTACTGCTCCTTGTTCCTTTATTATAATCCAACACTTTGACCCAAAGGTTTATGGGCTCTGATATAGTGTCCTAAACCACATATGTGCTCATACTCACAAACATGCCACAGACTTTTACCTTTCTCAGATCTCCTCCCTGACAGTACTCCATCGCCAGCAGTGGCAGGTCATTGGTGGCCACCATTTTCTCCATTCCCTCAGGAACCTCTCTGGCTGCGACAACGTTAACATGATCCAACCTATGGGATGAGGAGACATCAGTCAGTGGGGTGGCACAATGTATCGTATTACATTTGTTTAATTACTGAGATATACATTCCACAATTATCCACTTTCAGGGGTTGCCATATTAGACATTAGAGATATATAAATGTCCTCCAAGTTATAAGAGAGTCCTCCTTTGCCAGTGTGCATGTTATCACTCAATTAAGTGAGCATTATTAGTGGTTAGCAGCATCATATGGGTTAAAAGGGTCCTGCTACACCAACTAGTATATTCAGAATGCTGTTCTCAGTGCATTCAATGTTTGTTATGCGGCAATGGAGAAAGTCAGCTGAGGTAATGTTAGGATAAAGAGCGAGAAATATCCATACATACATCTATCTGTTCTACTATATATTTGACCCCCAGGTTGGGCACCATGAACATAGACTTTTATGAAGTATATACCTGATCACATCAATCAGAAATGTAGCCTTTAATCTCGTCTTTCTTGCATCCCATCTCCATCATCAGATCCAACAAATGTATCAACAGTTGCACACTATAACAACTATGTGCAAATCTTTTCATTACATAAGTCATCGCTCTCCTCCCTTTGCTCTTTGGCATGCTCTGTTACTTTCTGTTTCTCATTCTTCGCTGTTTCATAACTCTGATTGAAACAGCGTGTTTCTGATTGTCACAGAGTCGGGCCCTCTTTGAAGAAACAAAGGAGAAATATAAAGATAACAAACCCCAAACTGATACCAGATGCACCTGGAAAAAGACTGTAACCATAACACTGTATGCAATCAGTGTGTTGGAACAGCTGCAAGAGCAGGGGATATATAACAGTCATCACTAGAATAATAAGCTGTTGTTTGAAGTTGTTATCACATGTTTTTCTGCAAATCTATAGCGTTTGAATTAAAAAAAATAAATCGGAGCTCACTGAAACAAACCTAGACATGATTAGAAGTATATATTGTGCTAGTACAAGACTCCATCAAGGGACACAGGCGCTACATATATATTTAATGTGAAAAATATTTTGTTGATGTTGTTCTCTTTTCAGCTTACATAAAACACATTTTGTGGATTGAGAAAAAAGCTAAAGAGAGTGGGAGAGTGGGGAGAAATGTTTTTTCTTGGTTTTGAAAACATTCGGCCGATGCAAAGTAATGCAGTAAACGCTTTGTAAACACATGCGTACATCTGTGTTAAGGAGCTGTAATAATATAATAGTAGGTTGCCATGTATGTGTCCCCTGCCCTGTGGTTTTTCCACGAGTTGAGCGTGGGTGCACGGGAGGGTTGTGGTCGTGACCATGTCTGTCTGAAAACAACACAATTGTTAAATTGGGACTAGGAAAGAAATGGTTTTATACTCATGTTTTCACCAGCAAATGACAAAACACTCACACACATACACACACATCTCACAAACCCACATGATCTGCCATTCAACTCCAGTGACCTGACTCCTCAATTGAAAGTGTTAATAGGCAATGCAGACATGTATGGAAATGAAACACACACACCAAAGCAGAGCAAAATGAGGAGGCGGCACATTATCCTGTCAGAAATAACCACCAACAGACCAAAATAACCCAAACGCCATGCTGTTCTAATTATTTAATGTCCTGTGTGATTTTTACTATTTCAGGATACACACATTTAGTTTTTGTATTTTGAGAAAATTTGTGAAACAGATGGGTTCATAAAAGTCAAATGTCAAACTCATCAGCACCCCACATGTCATGGAATGTAATGCTGGTGAGTCACAACACGTCAAACCAAAACTTGTCTCGAAGGAGCTGCCAAAAAGAGCTTTAAGGCGAAGCATGAAAGAGTTTGGACAGGAAAAAAGAAACCGGGGAAATCACCAATTTCTCCAACCGAGTTAAATGTGTCACACACTATGATGCATCACTGGGGAAAAAGACACCCCTGGATCTTTTGTAAACAGAGAAGCAAGCTTAGGCAAGGTGCCACGGTCAAACAATAAACAAAAAAGTTGGGAAATCTGGTCTTCTTTGCTCCCTGCCTCTGACAAAACGGTGACGGATAAGATAAACATATTGTACTTTTTACTAAATCTTAAATAAATATGTGACTCTATGATCTGGAGCATGACCTTAACCAGGTCTTGCTCTGTTAATTAATCCTGAGGGCATGGCCTGTGTTAAAATCTAGTTTATAGGTTTATTATTGTAGTAAATGTTGTGCTTATATAGTGCACAGTCCCACATAAACTTCTGTTTATAGCACAGGAACATTGGTTGGAGTGTGTCCTACTGGCTAGGACACAAATCATACAACACCCAACAGTTGTCCCCCTTTCTCGTCCATGTTTCCTGTCTTCACTGTGACCTGTCTCAGTGGTTCCCAACTGGTCCAGCCATGGGCTCCAGATTTCTCCTTCGTCATTAGTTCGAGGTCCCACAGTTTAATATATTCAGCGTCATACTTGCATTTGGCCATGTCGCTGAGCTAGTTTGTTGTCTCTGTCACTCACTCTACAGCACTTCTCAATAAAAGCTCTGTGCTGGAAATTTACTGTACTTAAAAATAAAGTGTGTTTTTTTTTTTTTTTTACAAACTTGACACATTTGTGAGTCACTTGTGGTCCATTCAGAATGGACACACGACCCACTTTTGGACTGCGACCCACCAGTTGGAAACCACTGACCTATCTAATAAAGGCAAACTGCCAAGAAAAGAACACTGGCTGGCATCTGGGAAAAAAATAACGAAGCTGCCATGTGTTTGCTTTGTGTGCTGTACATGACTGGAGTTTGAAGGTGTCAGAGGAAGAACGTTGAGACCCAAAGGGGACTTAAATTGTTTGCTCTGGGGCCCCTAAGTGAGTTGACACATGTGAGCGTGAAACTGACCTCTTCATGATCTGGATCTCCAGACACCATCTCTGTTTGTTTCTCTCGCACAGCTCCTGCCGGCACTGCTTTATAGCGATCTGTTCCTCTGTGTCCTGAAATCACACACACACAGACACGCAGTCAAAATAATAAAAAAAATAAAATATTATCTATCGGCATTTTAAAAGAAAATAAACAAAATTAATGATGATATTCAGTTGCTTATCACCAACAAAAATCTTCAGGTGGCTTGAATCAAACATACCAGGCAGCATAAAATAGAAGTAATCCCTCTTTAACATCCCTTAAAACCCATCAGAACTGTGTGACAGTGTATATATCTGCCCTCTGTCATCTGCCTGCCTTTTTTCTTCACATTTCCCTGTGTTCCAGATGTTCCTGGGCACAGCGCTAATGTGAGGTTGGGACTTTATAAAAAGGTAGCGACCAGGTGCCAGACTGTAAGGAGCAGGTATCCAAAAGTAAGCTGCGAAAATCACGGACACAACTCTAAAAGAACACAAATAAAAAGTAGATTTAAATGAGTCATTCTAAGATAGCAGAAACACGAGTCTCATTCTCAGGTGATTATAAACTAAATAAATCACGTTTATAGAATTAAATTAGCCCTAAGGACATGACACCTTATTCAGCTATTTGAGTCAGTATCGGCCAGATATCAATATCAGATTGGTGCATCCCTACCAAACATATACAGTACATTTAACCATTTGCCAAAAATGTTGAGCAACATACTGTAGGTACATCTCACTACCTACTTCTCATGGCATCATCAAGGAAAAGGCACCCACCCTGCTTCCCATTATTTGATCTCTAAACTAATAATAGCCCACAGTATTGTCATTAATACAGGAGGGTGGGAAATTTCCTAAAGAGGAAGTTTAGTCATCACAGCAGCAGCAGTGCCGGCGGTGCCCTCTTCAGTCAAATCACTTCCACCCATCATTTCCATTCCCTTTAAACCCTGGTCTGTTGTGACACTGATAATGAAAAGTGCTTATCTGTGATTAAACTGGTAAAATACATAAAAAAAAAACAGTGGAATTAAATTATATGACGATCTTAACTCTGTTCAAGTTGTATTGTTGAAGACAGCGAATTCCACACACATTACTGGCGTGATTTACGCCAAATGATACAGGTCTTATGAACATGAACAAATGAGGAGTGTGACACACATTCTCAGTTTCATTCAGCAATAACACTTATTACTCTACTACTTAGTATACTCAAGTGTTGGTATAAAAATCTTTTAAATTTGAAACTACAAGAGAAAATATTTCTGAGGACTCATACTCTCAAGTGCTTCCCACAGTATTTGACTCTCCACCACTTATATATCGACAGTCACATGACGATGCTGCCTGGCTCAGAGCCAGCTCTGGGCTTACCTTGACAGTGTGTGTGAGTAATACAACTGAAGTACAGTTTTAAAGAAAGGAAGAGGAAGGTCCACTAAGCGGGCGTGTTCGTATTCCCATAGCGCACTGATGCAACTCCATAATGCCCTCATCCTGTGACTAGGAGTGACATCATTACAATTGACACCATTTCTACTGGATTCGGAGCACAAAAACGACAACTTCCTGGACTGATGTCATGCTAAAATGGCGCAGCTGAAACCTCAATTACACACTTAAGTTTTCATTTGTGAACTTCTGTTGTCATTCTGATAGTGAGTTTAGAGGGGGGCACAGAAGGAAGAATGTCATAACAAATCTGAACACACAGACATAATATACTTACACATAATACACAGACTCAGTGTGAAACTTCCAAAAGATGTCATTATCTCTTTCCTCTTGGATGAACTTCCATAAAGCTCATCCTTGTAACTCCACAACTTGCCTGAGAATCACCTTTTTAAGTTTTCCTCAGTGACAGCAGCCTGTACATCAATCTTCACACTGCCAACAGAAACTGCTAATTTGGTACAGATGTAATGGTGCAAATGTGGCAAAATGTAAACCAATATAGGCTAACTCACTGACTCCATGGCAACATTATACTTCCTGTTTACATCCCACAAAGCCCTCACATTACAGGAACTGTGTGGCAGCTTTGGCTCAGGAGGTGGAGCAGGTCATCCATATATCACAGGGTTGGTGAGGGGGGGTGCAGGTGTCTCAATTTTGTCTGAGAAGACCTCTGTCTTAAGGTTTTTGCTGCAGTTTTAAAAATGATTTGTTTGTAAACAGGACAAGAAATTACTTTATTTGTAATATGTAATATGTTCTTTCATCTAATTACTTAAAGGTTCTGTGTGTAGGATTTAGGAGGATATATTGGCACAAATGGAATATGATATAATTAGTATGTCTTCTTAGGTGTATAATTATCTGAAAATAAAAATCAGTGTGTTTTCATTACCTGAGCCGTTTATATCCACATAGGGAGCGGGTCTTCGTCCACTGACATCGCCATGTTACCAGAACAGACAAACCAAACACTGGCTCTGAATAGGACCATTTGCATTTTTGCATTGGCCACTGTAGTTAGCAGCCCCTCGGTAATGCATTGGAAAAACGGCATCTTTTTTAAATGTGAAACTGCTTTATTCAGTGTTTTTACCGGTTTTAATCTGCTGGATTTAAGTTACTAGAGAAAAAATGTGGGCACAGATTAGCAGTGACTTGTAACGTGACTCTGCTTTATTATGTATTTTACTGGTTTTAATCACCTGGTCCATTTGTCAGCTCCCGGTCGGCTCCCAGTAAAACCCTCCTAAACAATGAACACTGAAGGAATTCTATCCAGGAGATGTTTCAGCTGGTTGCAATCTGCAACCCTCACCGCTAGATGCCACTAAATCCCCCTAAATCTCACACACTGTTCCTTTAAAATGCTCAAACATTTCTAGTTAGTGGGACAGTCTGTTATTTAATCAACCTTTTGGAGGGATTTCCAGTCATTCAGTCTTCTATCATGTCCTACCACAGCCACAAATAAAACCAAATGTTTCTACGGGGACGATAAAGATGTCACAGTCTGTTAGAAGTGTGTGGACAGTGTACCTTGTTCTGCCATCTTGTGACATTCCCAAAGCCTCCAGTGCCCAGCCGCTCCTTCAGCTCCCAGGCTCCACAGCTCTGAGGCTGCTGCAGGGGGACTCGATTCATGGCCTCCTCGACTGGTCCTACGAATAATACAGCAAATAACAACAAAACTCTTAAGTCTATAGATATTCTCGTGGTTCACTCCAGACAAAAATATTGGATTAATAGACAATGGAGGAACAATTTTCCTACTCTTCTATCATAAACACCAATAGGGCAAAAATGTAAAGGTTGGCCTGAGGGTGGCACTATAGAAAATGCCATGTCTTAATCACTGAGCACACTGACATGCTAACTTCACCATGCTAAAAACTGGGGCTGGGTAATATGGAGAAAAATATTGTATTGTAATAAATATTGTAGGGTTGACTATGGGTGCTCTCATAAAATAATCATCAGTAATGTGGATATAATGACAAACCCGCCAGAAAAACTTCATAATTTGACAATTAATTTCCTTTTACATTATATATATTATCATAAGCAAACACAGCTAAACAGTATATACTATAACATGCACTGAGTGAAAGCTACTGTCTACATAAATTACACATGCAGTGCAAAATAAATGATTGACGCTTTGCTCAGACTTCATGTGGGCTATCAGACAAATATAATAAAGACATTAACATTAGTTGAATATACCCATGAGCCATGTTCTGCTGGGGTATGGCAACACCACTAAGACAAACCACATGCAGAACTGCAGTACACCATAATGGTAGAACCAGAGGTAATAACAATCACAATTTGTTAAGTTTATTTGATTGTGATTTCATTCATTAGTTTTCCGTAACCCCTTATCCTGTTAGGTGTTGCGGGGGGGCTGGAGCCTATCCCAGCTGACACTGGGCAAGAGGCGGGGTACACCCTGAACAGGTTGCCAGACTATTGCAGGGCTAACACATAGAGACAGACATTCACACCTACGGCTAATTTAGAGTCACCAATTAACCTGCATGTCTTTGGACTGTGTCGACACGGGAAGAACATGCAAAGTCTGCAGAGAGGGGCTCTCCCACCCTGGGAACCAGGAACCCTATTGCTGTGAGGTGAAAATACTAACCACCACACCACCATGTCACTATTACGATCACAATTGCTAATAATTATTTTGGACAGTCATCCTACTATTAAATGGAGAAACCTCTGTCCCTCCGTCCGTCTGTCATCATCCGTTTTCCTCCTCACTGCTTTGACCTATTTCTCTGAACTTGCACATAGGCTTTCATCTTGGTCATGTGCAGACAGCCACGATGCCGTTTTTGCATTTTTCCCTCATTTCTACTGTTTATATTCGTGTTCTTCCACTACCCATTCATACTGCAACACCATTAGCAGCACGAGCTGTGCATGCGCGGAGACCACTTGGAAAACACCTGCGCTGGGACCACAGTTTGGCTGGGAAGCCTTTATCTCCAACACTTGCGGATCGACATCACTTGGAAAACACCTGCGCTCGGACCACAGTTTATGGCTGGGAAGCCTTTATCTCCAACACTTGCGGATGGACATCACTTGGAAAACACCTGCGCTGGGACCACAGTTTGGCTGGGAAGCCTTTATCTCCAACACTTGCGGATCGACATCACTTGGAAAACACCTGCGCTCGGACCACAGTTTATGGCTGGGAAGCCTTTATCTCCAACACTTGCGGATGGACATCACTTGGAAAACACCTGCGCTGGGACCACAGTTTGGCTGGGAAGCCTTTATCTCCAACACTTGCGGATCGACATCACTTGGAAAACACCTGCGCTCGGACCACAGTTTATGGCTGGGACATGCAATTTCAAGCACCAACACTTGCTGAAGACTAAGGTAATTATTTTATTGAACGAACGTGCGTCTGTGTCTGTGTGTGCGAGCCAGTCGTTACATATTTTCACTTTACTGACATTAGCCTACAAACATTACAAACTAAACATTGCGCTGTGCACTGTTTCTTTCATTCTTTCTGTACCTGTGTGCCCTTGCACAGCCCCGTGCACGTGCATGCCTCCGTGCCGTCAGCCAAAACTATGCTCTATGTATTTTGCCATAAAGCATGTTTCTAAATACAGTGTGCATTGTTTGTCTTACATTGATATTTATTACACAGTGCATCATTTACAGTGTTATCATTTTGCATCTCCTCCAACATATACTGTTTTTGATTTCTTATTCCTCTATACATAACACACCCCCGGGTATGGACTAGTAGAATAACAATTTTGCAATCAATATGTTGGGGGGGGCATTTTAAGCATACTTGAATAATGGAGGGGATGTGGCCCCCTCAATACATGTATTAAATACTGCCTTGCATTTTATAAAATAAAAAGATCACCTGATTGAGAAACAAATAACCAACTTTATTGGTGAGTAGAAAAATAAGCATTACTTGCAACCCAGATTAAACTCTCCAATGGCTATTCAAAACTCTGATTGTGTACAAACACAATGGCTTACTAACTTTTTGCACCAGTTGCATTTACACTAAATACACATCACAGACTGTAAAGAGGAATGGGTAGTCAGGTCCAGTTAATGAAGCCCTTCCTGTTTAAGACTTGAATAGTTACATTGTTACAGGATCCCACAGGCTGTTACCAGGCCTCTTTATACTGCAGTGACGGTACATGCATCAATCAGGCTGCTTCCGTTTGTGACTTTATGCTATACCTCTCTGCTTATAACACAATTATGCACCCAAACACAAGAAAGTCACTTCCCTTTTGTTTCTGTTTCCTGTTGTCTGAAGTTATTTCAATGCACGGACACGTTTTCAGCTCATATTTCCATGCAGAGAAGCGCTTTAACTACAGCAGTCTTTTATTTCAACTAAATCCTACCTTAGATTTCGTAGGCACCGTTCACACCTGGTTTTCTTAAAACACTGTGTGTGTGTATCCTATCGGTCTTTCATCGAGTTAAACTTTGAACACTTAGTAGTAGTAACGTCGGCGACAGAACAAATCTCAAACACTTTCTGCTTCCTGGAACTCACATTTCCTGTAAACCTGAAGGGACCCGCCCACGAGGAGGCAGAGCTGCCTCACATCTCCAGCTGGTCTCGTGTCAAACAGATTCACACAGGGCCACATGACTATCAATGATGGGTCTGTTAAAAGACGATTTTATGTTTTATAAAAACTTCGACCTGGACATGTCAAATATATATGTTGTGCTTAGTGACAGGGATTTATTGAATTTCAAGTCTGCAGTTCAATTTACAAAACTCAACTTAAATTGTCCCACATGAAATATACAACTTTAAAGTTTAAGAAATACAACTCAAGAGTTATTTTAAAAAATGATTTACAAAATATAAGAATATCATGGCCACTTAAAATTCTCAGCTCTGATTGGCTGGGAGGTTTCCATTAATTAACAATAACTGCTGCACAATATAATGAGCACCTCTTGTGCAGGTTTTTGTTTGCAGCTCTAAATCAATGTGCTGATAATAAATCTCAGGAAAGGAACAACTGCCTCAGTTACTGCAGCCAATAAACATAGGTTGTGACTTGTCAGGTATGCTTACACATATGTTTATTGCCTACATGACAAAAGAGGAATTTTAAATATTTGTGCTATAAAAGTGTAGAATGCATCACTGATTATAAAATACATTCATTGCTCATAGTAAGAATGTGGCAGGATTATCTTTAGGTTGTATCCCTGTGTTGCTATATTTGTGTGTTATAGCCCAGTGGTGTCCAAACTGTGGTTCGGGGCTCCCCAAGGCTCCTTCACAATGCTTTGGGTCTAACCTACTACAAGAAGTGTTTGCATTGCAAATGGTAAATGGATTGCACTTGTATAGCGCCTCTTTAGTCTTCCAATTTTTCCAACTCCAGCTTTTACACTACTGAGTCACATTCACCCATTTACACACACATTCACACACTGGTGGCTGAGGCTACCATACAAGGTGCCACCTGCTATTTAGTAACCATTCACACACTCTCACGATGGAGCAGCCATCGGGAGCAATTTGGGGTACAGTATCTTACCCAAGGATACTTTGACATGCAGACAGGAGGAGCCAGGGATTGAGCCGCCCATCTTGTGATTGGTGGACGACACTGTGGTTCATGTGTGGTCATGTTTAGGCTTACAATACCTGCTTTTAGTGATACAATTCCAGCTGAAAACACAACAATGTCTTGGTAAAAAAGGGGTACTTTTTGTGGCACTATCTTCAGTCCCCGCTGGGAATGCAGCGATGACTTGGAAAAAAACAACAACCAGTTTTGTTGTTTGTTGGTGTCAAACAGTGGTCTGCAGCTTGGTAAGCGTCACACCCAGTTGTCAAGCAATCCATTACCTTCTCTTCCACCTGATGACAAAGTCAGCTCATATGTCACTTTAAAAACATTGATATGATACGTGTGAAACGTGCAAATGTAACGTATCCATGGTTTGCTTAAATGTATAATGCTAACATTTCCTGCTGGGGGCGGTGTGTCACATAGATAAGGACTACCTCAAATCTTTTTGTCTATAAAATGGAAAATTAGCTAATGTTATTCTGAAAAGTTTTATTTTTTTGTCATTTTCCTACCCAAAGAAAAGAAACACATGAGGTCACAGAGGCAATTCAAGTCTGACATTTAAAGTATCATACTTGTAATACTCTATTAGTCCATATGTTAGTGTTAAAGTTTACAAAAGAACAAATAATGTGTTTACTAGTGTTGTTATGGAGACTTTGGCTGACACAACTTTGGGAATGCACATAATACACTTATAGCACTTCTCGCTAATGGTTGGATCAAATTCCCAAACCATTCTGGACAGCAGAGTCACCGCCGTATCTGCTTTCATGACCTGACAGCTTATTACTTCATGTCTCCCTCTTGAATTACACCTCTCCTCTTTAGTTGTGAAAGCTTTCTTCTATGTTTCTTTTTAATATCTTTTCTAGGTGGATCTACTTAATCATTGCCATATCTAAAAATATTACACACAAGGTCCAGACACTGTGACCTTAATGGTTTGCTAAAACTATTTTGTAATGCAGCTGTTATCATTTTCTTAGTCAGACGTACCCGGTCTACATTTCCAGGAAGATTGAG